TAATGTCTCATTACCTGGTATATCATTATCTTTTTTGATTCATATTATTTTTCTCATTTAATAAGCTGATATGCTATACAGCATCTGTCAAGTCTTCTGGTTTTTTTCTCGTTGGAGGCTACCTGTTAAAGGAATTTAAATATATGCATGATTGATAAATGATTAATTTTGAAGTACAAGATGGCCACCAAAACCCTTAATTGGCTTCTCAATTTCTTGTAAAAAATTAAAAACTTTATCAAGTGTCAGTGGAAATTATCTGATTATAATTAATGACATTGGGAGAAAGACTTTGATATGACATGGTGTAGGCTGTATAATTGGCTTTAAAATTTTTGAAAGCTAGCCTCACTATCACCATTATGAAGATTTGAAATATTCTGCAAAATAAACTTCAATACTGCCAATGTGTTGCCTTCAATCCATTTTTGAAGTTTAATCCTTGGAAATTCATGTGCTATATAGACAATTTAGCTGGTTTTGTTGCTAAGATAAAATGTCACATAATGGTAATCAAAATATTTACTGCATATATATCAGAGGAGATATAAGTCATATTAAATATATATATGTATTATCTCATTATATCAAAAGTGATAATATGTTTTTATGTAAGTATTACATTCCTGTTAATGTCATCTATCTGGGAGCATGATATAAAGTGAAATTTGACAATAAGGGTATGACAATAAGAGGAATTTACTGAAGGGTTATAAGATTTAAGAAGCAGTACTTCAACAGAAGCTTCATACTACTAGAGGAATTTCCTGTAAATATCTTGTATTACATCAATTTAAAAAAATTCTTGTATGGTGTTTGATAATTTCCAAATTACAATTAAAAGGACATGTTGTCTTCCGAATTTTTTTAAACCAAACTCAGTGATGTATGATGCCCAGACAGGTGATATATGTTTATATTATTAAACTTATGGGAATAAAAATTGTCTTGTTCAAGATGTCTCAAATTGTAATGGACTTTTTTGCCTCATGCATTGATTTACCAGGTAATCATATACCCTGATCACAATGCTGAAGAATAAAATCCTTTTTATTTCTTTTGACAATACATATCGGAATACCCAACAGGTAAAGTTTTACTTGTGGTCTATATTTCTCATAATTGTTAATTGAAACCTTTTTTTTTCATTTCTTTAAGGATGTTGGCCACACTCTCATCAATCTATTAATAAAGAATTATCAGTACTTTGAAAATGACAAGCCAGCATCCACAGTAGTATTTGATACGTATAAATGAAGTACAGGTGGCATTTTTTTGTTTTTCTGTAGAGAACAGTTTATCATTGTGAAGTAATTTTCATCTGTCTCTCTCTGATATGTCTCGACTCCTGGACTCAAGGAGACACCAGTTTTATACATTGTATCTAATCACTATATCTGATTGTAAAAAAAAGATGACATAGTATATGTGTACAGAATATTTATCATTATAACTGTATGGTATTTCTACAAAGAGAATAATTTTCAGTTTTTGTAAGATTTAAATCAATTTCTTGTTAATTGGAATGTGAAAAATAGGGATGTTATGTGTACAGAAAACAAGTACATGTACCGTTATTTCTGAAAGGTCTTTCTACAAAAGTTATTCTTAAAAAATGATACATGCATGATGGATGATATTGTAAATTTTTCTAATAGAATATAAATGTTTCCATGTTTTTGTTGTTGATGATGTTTGTAAATATGTACAGTGAAGGCAGTATCATCAATCTGATTTAATGTTGATATCACAGACATAATTTTCTTAATTAATTTTGTTTATGTGTGCTCTACTATATGTAATTGTGTTCATTAAAATGTCGCCAAGTATATACTCAAGTTCAGTATAATTATATCAAAATTTTACACTTAATTATACTCTGTGTAACCAATGAGCTTCAAAACTCACCAACTTTAAGAAAAATGTACCTCAGATTGATATCATGGATAGTTTTATTTCAGAAGATGAAATGTTGGAGTCACGTTCCTGATGAGTTTAGAACCATCATCAGAGTGTTCCACGAAGAATTAAAAGATTCTTTTTTTGTCAAATTTCTGTGTCAGTTTTCTTTTTGTTGTTTGTTTTGTCTTTTTTTTATTATCATTATTATTTTAACTTTGATAGAAAATGTGTCAATGAGCTGGCATCTCGGCCTGCTGATGCAATTATTATCATGGAGAGTAATCTCCCTTTTCTCTGAAGCTTCAATGATATGTATTTTTTCAAAGCTGCTATACATGCTTGTCAACATTCAGAAGTGCCTATGTGGTTGATCTCTTTGAACTCAAAGAGTGAATCTCAGCATGAGCAACAAAGGTTTTTATAACCATAAAGTAATTTTCTGCAGATCTGCAAAATTGTCCAAATTTGATGTACAATCAGGATAGCCCTTTACAAACACCTCACTATAAGTAAGAATGTATACTTCATTCTGACTGAAGTTGAAGTGTTTTGCTCTACCCTGAGATGAATTGGTTACCTCATCGGTTTCAGAAATCAATTTATTTTGGTAAAGAATATATTACAGTATATAAACAATACATGAGTGGGAGACAGAGATACTGTAAAAACCCATGTAATGTGCACAGGTACATTTTGGAGATGAAAATGGTTAAAAAATTGTTATTATTAGACATATAGATGTCATTTATAAACACCAAAAGACCACTTTAAAGAAATATTGAATTAAATCCATTGTCCGATGGTAAGGCTCAATCGATACTCTGCATACTAATATGTTAACGATAATGTCCACCATTACACATGAAAACTGACTGTGTGTTCATTGCCTCTGGTTCGTCACGATATCAGATGTGAATCAAATGAAACCTGTCAATTTCTTAACAGTTGAACATGTAACTGTTTATAAGATAATTATATAATTATTGACATATTATTTTCTGTCTTGCTAGTCGCTATCATGTCTATAAACACTTTGTCCCGATTTTGCATGATATCGAATTGAATAGTTTGCATTAACAAATACAGTAATCACCTTATTTATTATTGCTGTTCCTAAATAAATTCTGAAATCCTTTTTGTGTCAGTTTTGAGAACCAGATAATCAATGATGGCGGTCTCACAGAATATTGGATTTTTCCATGAGAAAACACCTTTAAAATCCTATAGCTACATAATGTGCAGACCTCCCACTTTGGACATTGATTTCCTCAAAAAGAACTGTGCTAATTACCTGGGTTTTTAAACATACAGTTGATTTAGCTTCTTATTCTTTGTACATAATGTGCAAATTGCATTAAAACTTTTCTCAACTGTTTTGAGTTCTAGATTCTGCCATTTAACTAGATTATCTCCCTTGCTGATTATACATCAGAAAGGCAGTTTGACTGACAGTTTGACTTGATATCATTTTAATTATGAAGTCACTTAAATTGTGCTTGTAAATTAAAACACCAGTTAGATAGGTGGATGAGACAGAGAAATGGGTCATGCATGAGATTTCCCCGTCACATGTACCAGGGTAAGGAAACAGTACAGTATCCAACATATCTGAGTCATATACTGTGAAATCATCGATTTTCTTGGGAGATTTATTTTTGTGGGTACTATACAAGCAAGAATTCATAAGTCCACAAAATCAAGTGCAAATGAAAGTGAACGTATCTGGAAAACATAGAATTTCAGCCCCACAAAAATATATGAATTTTACTGTGTCTTAAATGATAAGCTAGATGTTGTAGATGATCAATAATTACTATTGATATAGCATATTATTTCTCCTGTGGCCCTGACCTTGGATTTAGGGTTTCAAATGCAAGAGTAAATTATACACTAGACTAGAATCAAGACACAAACTTAATATTACATCACCAGGTCATTTTCTCGAATGTACAGATACAAAAGAGGACAAAAACAATTTGACACAATCATGATACATGTATACACTGACTAACAGTTTAGGTCACTGCACGAAGTCACACCTGAATCATTAAATACGTGACTCATATGATAGTTCAGAGCTCTAGCTCCAGTTGCTCAGAGCTTGATTTGAGTATAAACCAGTGAACTCTAAGCTTTTATCAACTGTTTCCTGGTGTCAAAAAACTCCCAAGCATAAAGGAACTGAATCTGAGATAGCACATCAAATAACCAATTAAAAACATTAGAATTAGATTTTCTGGTTTATTATACTGTCACAATAAATTGACATAATCAGAGCGGGTCATAATATCTAGCTTAATCAGTAAAGTGTTGAACATTGCAACCTTGGGTGCAGATGTAAGGTGTGTGTTGATGATGCATCCTGCCTGATGGCTGACATTTGCTTTTCTTGCAAAGTTGAGAAATGGACTGGTGTTTGATTGTGTACATGTATGTTGCTCAGTGAAGTAGCCACCAGACCCTATGCCTCAAAATAACCCTATGGCTGTTCACAAAACAAATCCAATCAACTGAATTTGAGGGCAGTTTCACTCTCATTGTCCTCTGCAATATGAACAAGTGGATGCTGAAGCAATTGTATATCAAATATCTGGTGACGCTTCAATTTGAGATACCAAAATGAATATGAATACTAGTGATGAGCACAGTTTTTCCTTATCAGATATTTCATGTACAAATAATGTATTCACATGACATAAAGGCATCAGTAGTTTAGCTGAAATAATAACAAGCAGGAAAGATTCAGATTTTTATCATGTTAGATTTTGTATTATTGTATTTTACATTTTTTGTACAAATATTTACATATAAACTTGACATAATATAAAAACTAACATACAAAAAATAATACCTCCTGTATGCTGTTTCATCCCCATAATCTATTTCCCAAAGACTTTCACTTTTCTTTTAAAAGTTATTTTGGATTTATTATGTAAGACTTGGAATTTCTAAAAATCTTGATTTCTATACATGGGGTATGATCAGTATATCTCCTGCGTTAAACATCTCTGTTTCTACAAAGTATTGAAATACACAAACTTGCAAAGATACCAAATTATATTTACATTAAACATATGTAGAATTTTAAATAAGTTGATTTCTTTTTACCTTTTTATTATTTCATTTCAATCTTAAATTTGCAGAAAGTTGTACATATTGTTATAACATTTCACTATACATACACATTCTGAGGATATTTCCATATAAGTCCTGCAGTGTGTGTACAATTTTCTGCATATTGATCTGCTTTGTTAAAAAACAGCCTCAGTTGTGTAAAACGTTGATGTATCCTTGTTCACTTGCATAAGAGTTTGTTTAAGACTTTGGTGAAAAGTTTTCAAAATGGTCAATATGATCACAGATAAGTCCAAATGTTTTGATAATTCTCACTCATACAACGATTTTGTCATTGGCTGTCTGGAACAACTGGACGGATCTCATCACCAGGTACACCCATCATTATCATCCAGCGATTCACATCCTTCTCTGCTCGGTGAGAATCTAGGTATGTGTTGGCAGAAATTTCATACTCTCTGTGTCCAAAAGGAGTTCTGAAATTGGATTAAAATAATACATTAAATACCATGTATCAGCAAATATTTTATATTACAGCTTCCTTCTTTGGTTTTCTTTAACAATTTATCTAATTTGATAGAAAACATTATTTTCAAAAATTGTAAAAAAAAATAAATTTTGTAAGGGCTGCTTTAGATGCATGCCCCATCCCTTGACATTTCACCAATTAAACCTGACCTTCATTACCACTCCAATATAATCAGATGGAGAACATGATGTGACAAGGTTTTTCGACAGATGCAACAGATGAAATTTAAACCCCAATAGAAATCTATAATTTTACTGCATAAAATATCATAATAACATTTTAAGTAGTATGTTGTGACCAAGTGTTATCTGTAGCTATAAATCTAGTGAGATTAGTGAAACTATCCGACATATAAAAACAATTAAGATTTGATCCACAAGGTCACATTACCAAAATCTGGTATTTTGGTGTTACTATATATATATATATATATATATATATTTTTTTTTTTATTTTTTTTTAACACACCTCATGACAAAGTTCTCTTCCACTGCTAAGTTGTGGTTGGTCTTCATGTGGCTAATGATCACTATACTGTTCGCCTGAAAAAGAAGATGAACAACATGTGATGACTTAAACATCTGAATAAACAAATCTAGGTAGGTAATGTATGCCACACGCCACCATAAGGGCCCAGATATTGCTGTTTATTAAGATGAATATTATTATAAAAGTCATAATTGATGAGATAACATGTAAGATGGCAATGATTTAATATCAAAATCCAAAAGATATCTTGCTTTTCATCCTTTCATCATAATTTTCGCCGATGACTGCCATCACATCTATAGATAGAAATGTCCTGTACTAATTTCATAAAAATGTACATTTTGCATATATATATATTGTATAAGTGCTAAAAACAAAAATATGATTACTGCTAAAAAATGTTTGTTTACAGTATAGTAATAATTACTGTATAGATATCTGACAAAAGATTCCTATAACAAAGTGGGTTGTACCAGTGCTCGAAAACATTCCAACCATAGGATGGGAACCTGATACAGGACAGGAACCTGATACAGGACAGACAGGAACCTGATACAGGACAGGAACTTGATATAGGACAGGAACTTGATATAGGACAGGAACCTGATACAGGACAGGAACCTGATACAGGACAGGAACTTGATATAGGACAGGAACCTGATACAGGACAGGAACCTGATACAGGACAGACAGGAACCTGATACAGGACAGGAACCTGGCATAGGACAGGAACCTGATACAGGACAGGAACCTGATACAGGACAGGAACCTGGCATAGGACAGGAACCTGATACAGGACAGGAACCTGATACAAGATAGGAACCTGATACAGGACAGGAACTTGATATAGGACAGGAACCTGATACAGGACAGGAACCTGATACAGGACAGGAACCTGGCATAGGACAGGAACCTGATACAGGACAGGAACCTGATACAGGACAGGAACCTGATATAGGACAGGAACCTGATATAGGACAGGAACCTGATACAGCACAGGAACCTGATACAGGACAGACAGGAACCTGATACAGGACAGGAACCTGGCATAGGACAGGAACCTGATACAGGACAGACAGGAACCTGATACAGGACAGGAACCTGGCATAGGACAGGAACCTGATACAGGACAGGAACCTGATACAGGACAGACAGGAACCTGATACAGGACAGGAACCTGATACAGGACAGACAGGAACCAGATACAGGACAGGAACTTGATATAGGACAGGAACCTGATACAGGACAGGAATCTGATACAGGACAGACAGGGACCTGATACAGGACAGGAACCTGATACAAGACAGGAACCTGGTACAGGACAGGAACCTGATACAAGACAGGAACCTGATACAGGACAGGAACCTGATACAAAACAGGAACCTGATACAGGACAGGAACCTGATACAAGACAGGAACCTGATACAGGACAGGAAACTGATATAGGACAGGAACCTTATACAAGACAGGAACCTGATACAAGACAGGAACCTGATACAAGACAGGAATCTGATATAGGACATGAACCTGACATAGGACAGGAACCTGATACAGGACAGACAGGGACCTGATACAGGACAGGAACCTGATACAGGACAGGAACCTGATACAGGACAGGAACATGATACAGGACAGGAACCTGATACAGGACAGGAACCTGATACAAGACAGGAACCTGATACAAGACAGGAACCTGACACAAGACAGGAACCTGATATAGGCCATGGACCTGATATAGGACAGGAACCTGACACAAGACAGGAACCTGATACAAGACAGGAACTTGAAATAGGACAGGAACCTGATATAGGACAGGAACCTGATACAGGACAGGATTCTGAACAAGATACATACTGGCACTGGAAGACCTTCATTTTCCATCCTCATCCTTGGGTCATAGTAGAGTATCCTCCACTTTGTGAGTGCTGAAGGTTGAGGGACAAATGTTACAGCCTGATGACGAGAACGATTGGCAGACTTCTCCAATGTTGCCCTGTCACTTTGTAGGTATAACTGTAAACATAAAAATTCTGTACAGAGCACAAAAACATTTCATAAACAGAAATATGTAACAAGATTCAATCAAGAAGCAGCCCTCAAACTCAATATGATCCTTCAAACCAACTGACTATAGATCTCATTTCAATAATAAATATGTCATTTGGTTAATTCATCAACATTTGTTAATTGTTGCTGTCCTATTAAGAACCTGGATCATTTAAGGTGATGTAAGGTTTCAGTTGTGGAGAAAACTTGGAGTTTCTGGAGTTAAACCACCAAAAGATGGTCAGAACATTCACCAATACCAAAGAGCAATATATCAGTCATGTCCTGTAAAACTAGACGCAAATTCTCTAATGCTTTGCCTTGTGATAAGATATGGATTATAAAAGTACAAGGAAATTACACCAGATGAGCAAAAAACAAAAAAACAATGTAAACTTGAAAGTAACTGGTACTTACATTACCACCATCTCCATCCATTGTACAGAGGAAAAAGTCCTGACCATAACACAACTTTTGACCTTTTGCCTGGTAGGGTTCACATCTGCAATCATACAGCAGACATGTCGGTCATAATTATAAGTCATTGAAGCTTAATATATTTTAGTGAAAAAATCTTTCCCTTCAAATTAAAGGAAGGTCATTAATTGATAGCAGTCTCTCTTACAAACATTTCTTGCAAATCTGCAAGCACAATCAAAGTAATTTTATTGGTTTTGAACAGGTTTCAGGAGAGAAAAAACTGACTAATCACAGACTGAAAAGCTTCTTCGAAGATTATAAAAGAGTTACACCAACTTCAAAGCTATTACAACATACTGTTGTGATCTTCAGATTCTTTTGGTGTACATTACAAGATCAAATTAACCTCTTGTCTTATCCACAAGGTGAAGCACACAGAGCCTTCAATTTTGCCATATAGGGGTATAGAAAGCAATAGTGAGCATATCCCTGGAGTATCGAAGATGATCTATTATCAAGTCAATGTAATCCATCAAACACAGGTAATGTTCTAATTTGTTTTCCAATGAAACCCTGGCGATTGATCTGACATGAGATACTAAAACACAGTGTGACTATAGTAGAAATATGAACATGATATCTTTATCCTCATTGACTGTTACTTACCCCGTGATAACAAAGGAGCTTCGGAGATTTGGCTCCAATGAAGTACTTCCAGACACATCACAGGTACCCTCCAACTTTGTCAACTGTAAGAGGTTACTAGCTTGAGGAGTAACAGCCAAATTACAAGTATTGCGGGGTCCGTTATTTGTGTACTGGGTTCGGTCTTGTGCCCCAAGACACTGTAAGACTACAACATCTCCATAGTGGACACATCCATCTCTGGAGATACTCAGAGAGACCTATGGATAGAAGACACAAAGCCATCATATCTATATCTGTGGAGATGAGAAGGCTTAAAAGAGAACATTTACAAGCAAGTCATAACATTGTTCAAAAGACACACAGATGAATAGTACATCTTTAAAATCTTTGATTATAGAATATAGTCAAATGTTGAATAGATGTTTCATCCTTCTAGGACTTGTCAGTAAGGCTGTAAAGGCATAAATTATTGAAACCTTGGGGATGAATAAAGAAATTCAAACCTGGTTGAAAGATATATATTTAAAAAAAAAACCAGATGGGGAGGTGCATTACATTAAACCACAGTGAATTTAGTCAATATTGAATAATTTACAAAGATGTTAACTACATGAATATTCTGAATAATGCAAGAAAATTACAAAAAAAAAATAAATAAATAAACAAGCAAACACAAAAAATTACCGGCTTGAACAGCATCTGTGAGAGTTTGGAGCGCTTCTGGGATGAGAGCTCCCCCTTTTCTCTTTTCTCTAGGAAATCTTTCAAAGTGTCCTGTAAATGATAAAACATATTTGAGGTTGGATACCAATTACAAATTTTTAATTGATTATCAGTTCAAATGTGATAGGTTTTTCAAAGTAGTTTATCAATTATGTAATTAGTTGCATGACTTGTATTTCAAATTCATAAAAAGTGAATGTCATTCCCCATTGCAGCAATATTTCAAACATTCTGTAACTTCACATAAAATGCTTCATGTCAGTCTTTCTAAAATTTGCATAAGAATGAAATGTGTGACACATTATTTATGAAATTGGTTTAGATAATACACACAAAAAGGTAGTATGGTACATTTTCTTGAGGATCAATTATGAAAAATTAAAACCAATCATTATATAAGTTTTGGTTAAACAATCAAACAATCAATTTCACCTAATCCTCATCCCATCACTAAAATATGTGTAACCCTGGTAAACTACTAGCTGCAATATACCACTCGGCTAGGGAGAACTTCTCTTTAGCTCAATTGGTTGAGCGTCAGATTAGTAAGCCAGGGGTCCTGGGTTTGATTCCTAGCGGAGGCATTGAGATGAAAAATGACCTCTGTTACATTGGCGCCCATGTAGGGACCTGGGAATAGTACTTAGCCATGCCCCATAAGCATCGCTGTAACCCCTGGAAACTCGAGGATGAGTTATTTACTGGAGGGGGAGTATATAATCCTGGTAAACTACTAGCTGCAATATACCACTTGGCTAGGGAGAACTTCTCTTTAGCTGGATTGGTTGAGCGTCAGATCAGTAAGTCAGGGGTCCCGGGTTCGATTCCTAGTGGAGGCATTGAAATAAATGACCTCTGTTACATACATTCAGAATATTGTACATGATGCTAAGTTATCATTACTTCCGTTGCTTAAATTTACTCCTTGTGTGTTTAAATTGCATGATGGCTTCATTTGTATCTACCGAACTATTAATGGTGCTCATGTACCATGAGGTCAAAACGTCATTAAACAGACATTGACTTCATCAGTTACCGAGATTCAGCACGTACTTTGTAATAGAAATAAGAAAATAACGAGACATAACTAGCCTACATGTATAGGCCTAAAACGAGCTGTATTCTAGCTAGTCGGAGTCAAGCGTTGAATGGATAATTCCCTCACAAACGCATCACAGAATACTAAAATGAATTACCTCTTCCAACTGGATATCTTCATTCCAATTTCCAACCCGAACAGATGGGTTATACGTTCTCACATTCATTTTCAGTCACCGTTTATCTTCTCGTCGGCCTATAGTTGCACACAGCTTCCTGTCAAGTAAAAGGCAATGGATGTTTACCTTGACAACACTAGTCCAGCAGTGGATATGATTTTAACACAAATCTTTAATTAATGAATATTTATATTATGTCAGTGACAGAAAAGCTGATCTATTTAAATTATTGCATATCTTAAATACCATTTTCATTATTTGTAATTAATCATTTGATATCATGTGCGAGTCTACAATTATAAAGTAAATACAAATATGAACACATGACTGTGAATCAAATCCGGATTATTCCCTTTTTTTAATAAAAGCTACCGAACAAATCCGGCTTTATCGCCAAATTTATCTTTTGTTTACAGAATAACGGATGAAAAAGTCAATGTATCCCAAAACTACAAGACATAATTGAGCAAACTGTAATAATTATTTGAAATGTGAAATTAAATGGTTCGGTTAATTCGTACATTCCCATAACCGCTTCCTATTTGTAATTTAGACATTTCATTTTTTTTCTCTCCGTTAAATTATATATATATTTTTTGATTGATTGGTGAAATATAATGCTTACTTTCAGAATAACAAATGTAAACTTTGGTGTGTTTGAATATGGATTACGTGTTATATTTAAATATCATATAACATCTCGTCAAATCGCGTGTCTACGTCAAAATAATTTCATCGGCCATCTTTGTTGTTGGCAAAGCGGAAAAGAGAGTGACCGCAATAACTTGCCAAGATAAAATAAATTGGTTGGTGTTTGGTGACAGCAATGACAAGCAGGTCCAGTGGCCTTGTTCAGCGCAAGGTTGTATCATCACATGGAGCTGAAGGTGGAAAGGAACACCGAGAGGATGATAATTACCAAGAAGACGAGGAAGATCACGACTCAAAGGAAACACGTCTCACTTTGCTGGAGGAGGTCTTGTTATTAGGACTTAAGGACAGAGAGGTCTGTTCTAACGACAAGTCTCAAGTTATCATAGTGATTTACGGAAATGCTCATTACCATGGCATGTTTTCAATTGTTTGAGCAATCGATATTTCTTGCCAGAACAGAAGGACTCATAATCGTGTAGCGTATACGTCATTGATCAGGATAGGACTTACATCAGGCCCCACTTGTATAACATATCTCAATTTCAGATTTCCTCAAGCCCAGATTTTCCTCAAGCCCAGATTTTCCGCAGCTAATATCTCCTTGAAAATATCTTGTATGAAAATTCCTCAAGGAATTTCAGGACATCCTAGCCGATGCCTTCCTCCTGTTCCTTGATAAAATTTTATACAAGCCGTTTTTGAGGAGATATCACCTGAGGAAAATCTCAAGTTGAGATGTTTTATACAAGTGGAGCCAGGCCCTATAGTTATGGTGTAGATGTACGTGTGAGCCAACACCAGTTGAAATAAATAAGTGCAGTCCTCCAAACACCTTTCGCTTAGAGAATATGTCGGAGGCGTATTACGTTAAGTGAAACACATCTGAACGAGAAGCAGTACTAGACTTTATAATTTTAACTTAGAAATTATTTTTATCCAGGCGATAATTTTTAAAAAAACGCATGTTGTTGAGTTTGTTATGGGACGATATTGCACGCCACATACTCCTTTTCTATTGCACTATAGTTTTAGGATTATGTCTGAAATTTGAGTAGATATATTTCCAATGTAAAGCATTTTAAAAAATTCAAATGCCCTGAAATCTTCTCAGGGGTTTAGAGCTCCTTCAGGAATGATGTTTTAAACTTTACACTCTGCAAATTTAACTTTGATTGGTGTTAAAAATTATTAAGTGACATGTGTAGGTGGCCATTAGTATTTTTTGTAACATTTGTTTATATTTGTAAGATATTTGTCATGCACTTTGGCATATATTGAAAAAGCCTGCATAATATGTGCATGTACTTTCAGGGTTTGAAACTGGTGAAAATATGCTTTTACTTCCATTATGTGCATATCAAAGAATTCAGTCAAAAGATTTATGGGAGCCAAAAAAAATGGACAGGAGAATGTTCAACTAAAATGTTAGACCAACAATATAAAGTTAATAATTAAATCCATAGTCTGACGTTAAGTCACAATCTACATTCTGCATACAGTCAACTTCCATCAATATACACATGAAAATGGCTTCTTCGTCGTAATATCCAATGTGAAGAAGAATAAAATAAATCCTGTGAATTTCTATACAGTGGACCATTGAGTTTTGAAAAGATAATAATCTTTTATATAGTTAATTGATAAATTTTTCATTGTCCCAAACAGGCCACTGTCTTTACAAATGGGTAGTTTCCTGTCTTGCTAGTTGCTATAAAAGTTATAAACACTTTGTCCTGATTTCAGATGATTATGACTCAGATAATTTGTACTAATATATTTAGTTATTATTTTATTAATTTTTGTAATTAATTTATCAAATCTGTCTTGTGTCAGGTTTTCATACCAGGCAATCTCAACAATCAGTGAAGCCAGCTTAAATGAATCTTTAACTTTTCTACAAAAAGCTACATAAAGTGCACATCCTCTACTTTAATTTCCTTTCTCCAAAAGAAGAGAAATGCATTTGAGGTTATGTGGGTTTTTATGGTGTTTTTTAAAGCAAATATTCTAGAAAATTGCAAAAATTAATTATAAACATTTGTGAAGTGTCCTTACATGTTCTGGCCATTTTTAATGGTTTTTTTCCCCAATTAGGGTTACACATCATTCTGGAATGACTGCATATCGTCAGGACTAAGGGGATGTATACTGATTGAGTTGGCCCTGAGAGGACGAGTAGAGTTAGAAAAAGCTGGAATGAGGAGACGCAGTCTTTTAAACAGAAAAATATTGTGCAAGAATAATAATCCGACTGGTGATGTCTTATTAGATGAAGCACTTCGGCATGTTAAGGAGACTGATCCCCCAGAGACTGTTCAAAGCTGGATTGAATATTTAAGTGGTAAGTTCTAACTGCTCTGATCTTTTTCATTAAGAAAGAGATTTTACCTTATCTACATGAAGATCTGACAACAGAGACAATAACAGGAAAATATCATCAGTCAAAAACAATCAGTGAAGTTTTATTATCTGTATCAAATAAAGTCTCAATATTTATAGTGGTTTATAGGTAGCTCTACACCTGTAAGTCATTACCTGTTACAAGATACATGGCACCCTTCTTTTGTTAATTTACATTATATAACATATGATAAAAAGCATATAATAAAACTATAGTCATTAAGTTTTATTATCTGTATCCTGTTCATTACCTGTTACAAGATACATGGCACCCTTCTTTTGTTAATTTACATTATATAACATATGATAAAATAATTTCTTATGGAAAAGCATATAATAAAACTATAGTTACTAGTATGTATGCACGAGGCCTAAGGATTGGTTTGACAGAGTGTTAAGCTTGGTTCCTGTTGTTCCCTGCATATATGCTAAATACAGTATAAGAAGAATGTGTCCTGTGACAGTATGACCTGTGGCAAAGTAAATAAAAGTGTTATTGATAAACTCGTTTTTAGAAGCTGTTGCATTATAGGTATACACACCTCTCTGCATTATAGGTATACACACCTCTCTATAGGAGCTTCATTAAGGTGTATGTAGCAAATAGTTTTACTTTTGTGTTTTTGAGGTGAAACATGGAATCCTTTGAAACTACGATATCAACTGCGAAATGTCCGAGAGAGGCTGGCCAAAAACCTGGTGGAAAAAGGAGTATGTTCTACGGAAAAACAAAATTTCCTTCTATTTGACATGACCACGCATCCACTCACAGACTCAGGAGTGAAACAGAAACTCATAAAGAAGGTCCAGGATGCTGTCCTCAGTCGCTGGACGAATGACGCCCACAGAATGGACCGACGACTTCTTTCTCTCATCTACCTTGCACATGCTTCAGACGTTCTTGAAAATGCATTTGCACCTTTGTCCGATGATGATTATGAAATTGCAATGAAGCGTGTGCGAGAGCTGCTAGATTTGGACTTTGAAAATGAAAGTATGAAAGAGGGGACCAATGAGCTTGTGTGGGCTGTGATTGCAGCCTTTAGTAAATGACAGCCTTATATATAACACCTAGTGGGATCACTGTTGCTTTGTTGCAAGTTTGGAGAATGGATGTTTCTTTGATAAAAATCTGATACACACTAATTATCAAGAGTACTTCAACTTTTTATCATGCATTCAGCAGGTACTTGGCAATGTGTATGACAGATGCCAGAACTTTTGGTTGTTTTAGTTGTGTAGCACTATATACTTTTTGCCCAAACTGCCAACAGGATGATAAAGACCTAAAAATTCACAATCCTTGAAGTCTGTTCGATATTGGCCATTTTCCAAATGTACCTTAGGGAGGACTGGGGGAAATAAATGATTAAAGAAAGGGGCAGGGAAGCAATTTGTGTAGTGGTATACTGCAGGCCTATTAACATTTTAAATGGATTGCTGTACTTAATTAATTTTAACTCCCTAGATACATGTATTAACAATGAATTGATGGTCTCTCCCAGACCAGTAATCTTTGTTTCTGTCCATGGGTTTCTATTTTATTCTGATATCATAAACTAGATTTTCACTTTCTTCATGGAGTTTGATGTCATTGTCACAGTGTTTTAAAACAAGATACACTTACATAATAATTATTTATATATTTGTATGTACTGGACAGTATAGACATGGGAAAATTAATTTCTTTAACAGTGTGTTGCCATTCACTAACAGCATATACTCACAACATATAGATTATTGGTTCAAAGTTAAATATAACGAAATGTAGATGTTCCCTGGTAAGCTTATGGCAGATACATTCATTTTAATATAGACCTGTGAATCAGAATAGGAATTTGAAATCTATCTTTCAACAGATACCCAGAGTTTATGTCTGGTATTAATCCTATGTTATATATTGCACCTGGAATTTTAATTCTGATATAAACTATTTCCCAAGGATCATATGTAAATTTTCTAATGCAGGTAATTTTTTTTCGCATTTCTAGAAATAAACAGTTCATGTATGTAGCAATACACCTTCATTAATTTTGTATATAATGAACATTCCTGCATGTCTTTCTGTGTCAAAGCACTCTCCTGTTGATAGATTCTTAATGTAAATTGCACTATCATAACTGTAATTTCACCTAAATTATACATATTTGCCATAGTTTTGTAGATTTTGGTTCTCGGGAGATTTATGTATGTTTGATCACTGATAATTTTTGTATAGGAGGAATAGAAAAGAAATGACGGCTATTATTTCACTCATACAGTGATTAACTTTGTACATTGAGAATTGGTTGGGTAATAGTGTAAGATTTTGTGTTACTTGTGTATGCAGGATGGTTTTTGCTTATACTCCTTTGTGTGCTATATGAGATATTGTTTTACTAGATTCTGTTTGTGTAGATTTCAGGAAATCAGAATTTGGATGTAACAGACTATAAACAAATGGAAAGATATACATTTGTCTTGGGATTCTTTCAACTCGTAAACTGCCTGTGTTGGATATAAGGAAAAACCATCTGTTGCGTATTGCTTCAATTTCAGTTTTGCACAGACATGTATTTCAACACTGTCTACCCAAACCGCAAGACAAAGCTTAAGATACTGTAGTTAAAAAGCATTGAACTTATTATTGCAATTATTAGCTAATTGCTTGTCAATATTTTATGTAACATACATTTAGAAAGTTTCTGTAAACATTGGTGATTTAGTGGGATGGTTATCTATCAAGAATTCCTCTACAGATTGAAATATATATTGATATATATTTGTTATATGGGCCATGGAGGAGGGCAGAATGGTAATTTTTTGTCTCAAAGTGGGTTTTTTCTGCACGTAGAGCTTGTCATTCTGATCAGTGTCGTTGATGTGCGTCATTGGATGGGGCTTATCTAAGATGGTCCAGGCATCATAGCAATTTGTCTCTTTTTCTGTAGCTTGCATTCATCATAAATCATGCAGCATGGTGATATTTGGGGGGAAATTTTTAGGAAAATATGATAGTAGTATATGATTATGTCTGAAATTTTGCTTGAAGCACTTAAAAATTGTTTGCAGTTCACTATTCTCAGCACTTAGGTTTTACAAACAACATTTTTTCAAAACATCTTCAGCTGAACATAACTCTCACAACAACCATAGTGGATCAGTCTTCGCATCTATTTTTATTACATGAAATTTTGCATAAAACAGTTTTTGCTATTTACTTTCAACTTTTTAAAGTATTTTGTTTAGTTTTGAGTTGATAAATATTTCCTAATATGACATCCATGCATCTTGAGTAATGTGTACGTCAAGGCATTTAGTACAACATCCTAGTCATAAAATATGTAATGATATATAAATTTTACTCTACGAGTGATTTCTGCAGTCCGTATTTAAGAATGACCAACATTGTAAGTGATCTTGAGGTTTAAATGTTTTGAGTGTTGATTCCTTTTCAATGTTATGCATATTTGTTTCATGTCAATGTTACAAAGTTTTTTCGGTTTCGGAGTGTTTTCTTCTGTCAGTTTAAGCAATTGGTAACAACAAATCTCAGAGTAGCCCCAAAGTATTACACGTACACGTCCTGAAGGATTTCTTACTCCTAGAATGGCAACTCCAACCCACTACACAATAGTGTGAAAGTATTATACTGGTTGATACCTGGTGAAAAAATACTACAGCTGTATGTATGTATATGTAGTTGCTGTGTGGTCTTTTATTTTACATCATTATTTTGTACACAACACAATTCAAATGAAATCCATATTGTTGATTGTTATTATACATCAATTACAGGTGGTTTGGTTGGTGATATTTAAATTATCGAAACAAATTTCTTTGGATATGGTGTTGTTTGCTCAAGATGAACTCCCATTTTATGCAGTAGTTCCTTTAGAAAAAATTAATTTGCAAGTGTTACAACTAGACTAGGAATATGTCTTGAAAATAAATTGTGTGCAGTATATGATGAAGCTAGTAACACTGTTGGATGATTTGAGGTTACATCTCTGGTACGACAGCTTAGAGGTCATATAGGGTGTCTGTGCTTGGTTTCATGATTGCATCACCAGGGTTTAACAATATAGGCAATGCAATTGGGACATCTAGTGCTACACCTCAAGTTGATTTCATAATGATCAGAAATATTAATACAAAATTATCATAGTATACAAATAATAAATTGTACTTGTTTCTGATGTAGGTTTGTGTTGGCTTGGTCCTAGTTTTATCATTCAGCTTATGTTTGTGTCCGCTGGATTCCAGTTTTATCATTCGGCATATGTTTGTGTCAACTGGGTGCCAGTTTTATCATTCTGCATAAGGTTTGTGTCAGCTTGGTCCCAGTTTTATCATTCTGCACAAGGTTTGTGTCGGCCGTATCTTAATTAGAAAATTCTGGAGTAGCTAAGGTTTGTGTTAGCCTGGTTCTAGTATAATCATTCAGTAGTAACTTTGTGTTGGCCATGACCTAGCTTTATCATTCAGAATTTGTTTGCGTTAGCTGTGTCTTAGTTTCATCATTGAGCACTATCATTCGACACATTATCATTGTGTTTTTTGGTGTCAGCAGTGTTCCAACTTAATCATTTGGGGTATGTTTGTGTTGGCTGTCCCAGCTCTGAGTGTGGTATTACAGACTAAATAAGTATGCTGCATGCTGTCATTCAGTTTGTTATTTATTCTATGAAAAAAGAAAGTGCTACCCACAAAGTAGAATATGTGTTATTGTTGACTGTGTGATCCTACCTAACTGTTGGTTGTTAATGATGTTATTGTGAGAAACATTGAAGTTTTATTGGTTTTTTTATACATACACAAACATGTTTAAATAAGATTTGCAATTTCTGTATGTTGCTGTATATTCTATAGTATTTAAGCAGTAAATGAGCAGTAAGATCTATATTTCTATCACTTTTTGTCTGTTTCTATCAACTCTCAGGTCAGACCTAGTTAACTATGGCTGTTTTCTATTGGTAGGCTCCATCTTCCAATACTTTGTGGTTCTGAACCTAAGTGTTTTTTTTACATATCCATCAGTGACTTAGCACCATTATAGAGAGTTCCATTTCACATTTGATTTACAAACTTTCAGAATTGATCACCAGCTAAACTATGATGAAATTTATATACAATACTCTTTATTTGTAACCATTTTAATTACAGGTATTTAACTGACCAGACCAGAAAAACTCTAGCATGAAATATTCAAATTAGAAGATCATATTTTTTCTGAGGTATAACCCTTCAGGTGTATGTAATGAAGTACATAACCATGTGTAATTTGATCTACCTGAAATTTCAGTTGAATATTGACTTGCACACAATCAACATGATCAGGAAAGGTGAACATGACAGGTCTTTATGACTAAACTATACACTAAGTGTGGTTGGAAGATGTTTCAGAATCATTGTTATCATATTTAAAATTTTATTAAGGAACATTTGTTTTTGTTGTTTTCTTGAGTTTACCATTATCAGGTCAAAACAATCTCTTCAGTGTGATTTTCATTTGTTGTAATTGGGGTTTTGTAGTAAAATGTCACAAGGTATAAAAATGAGTTTAACTGTATTATACTGTAGACTATCACTGCATTTTCCAGTCTGTGAGACGTAGCAACAGATTCTGTGGTAGGATTTATATGTTGTTAATCTTAATTAAGATAAAAGAAATCATCAGAACTTTGAACTATCATGTTTTGGAGAAATCATTTCTTAATTGCAATCTATAAAAAAAAAACTGTACAGATGAAGTAAGGTATTTGTAAATATTGTGTGTATCTTTGTGATCATCATCTTAATACTTCTGATGTAGTAAATCTTGGGATTTTGACATGCATGATCATTGTGAAAGAAAAACTGGTTTTTTGATAAAATTGTATAAGTCTAAAATGACTTCTGACAGAATGATTTTTTTTATATATATATATAGAGAGAGATAATTAAAAAAAATTGTAGAGTTTCTTTCATTATTATTATCAAGATAAGACATTTTATTGTGAGGGTATTGATTAAAAGGTGTATATACTATTTCGCTTCAGTACAGATGTTTTGGTAAAGTACACCTAGTACTTGATCCAGGGGGTGTTGTAACCCAATAATCATTTGTAAAGTGAAGCTGGAATAAATCATTAAAAAACTTGTTTTGTCTCTGTTATTTTATTAAACCAGTCAGCAATTGTCTCTGTTATTTTATTAAACCAGTCAGCAAATGGTGGTATGCTTAATTGTTTTGTCTCTGTTATTTTATTAAACCAGTCAGCAAATGGTGGTATGCTTAATTGTTTTGTCTCTGTTATTTTATTAAACCAGTCAGCAAATGGTGGTATGCTTATATCACCCTACATTCCTAGTCCATCTTCTGTCTTTAGTTCTGGTTAAGGGGATAAAAGTTTTTTCAGATTTCCAAGGAGGAAGGTTTCCTTTGGTTCTCTGTTGTGCCCTTTGATATTGGGACTGATCAGGAAAACAAAATAGCTGACTGAGAGCTGTTAAAGATTTTGACCTTAGAAGTTTGTTATGGCTATTGCTTGAAAAGTGCTGGACAGATCTTTCTCATATTTCATGCATGTCCCCGTTCGATTTTAGGACTGATCATAGAAAGATGACCAACTTAGATATTGATAATGAAAATTTGATGTGCTAATTCTTGAGAAATACTGGATGGAACTTTCTTGAATTTAATAGGTAGATTTCCTTTGGTACCTGGTTATGCCCTTAAGATAACCCGTCGAAAAAATCAAAATGGCTGATGGGCATCCATTTGGATTTTGTCATTGAATGTCTATCCTTATTTATAGAAATGTACTGGATGGGTCATTCCTTTATTTTATTGGTAAGTTTCCACTTGGTCCCTGGCCAAGTTGTGCATTGGTCATGTTTGAAATGATCAGTAAAATAAAACAGTCTATTGGCGGCCATTTTGGATTTGACGGTTATCACCATTACACAGTCATAAGGAAACATGAGAAAGGATCCAACATGAAAAGAGCAGATATACGATGGCGGACGCCCAAATGCCTCTGGGATCTCCTGTTTACTATAGCCCAAGCCTGGTAGCCCAACATGTACTGAAAAGGTTTTCTCAGTTATACAAATGTTTAAAAAATATTCAAATGTTTGCAGGAAAAATAGTATTTTGCAAGGAATTGTGGTATATACCGCCTTTATATATTTAAATTTCATGGTATCTCCAAAATAACAAGAAAAACGAGAAACAGATCTTAAATCATTGTCCAGTAATAAGCCCATCCTGTCCCATTGAGTTAAAAGTACTATCTAGTTCCCATGGTTTAATGCTGGATAAATACGTTTTGCATATAAGGTTTGTAGCAATGAGAATGAAAACTTGGGTGACATAAATTTAACGTAATATGGACCTCACATTGATGTCTAAAAATGAAGTACTGGTGAAGAAGTTTGCTAGCAAACGTATCGCAAGCTGATGTGCTGGCCTGTTCTTTCTGCCATTTACTAAGTAAACAGGCATTTGGTAAAGCTGTGGTCTCGTAGAATCTAGATACTTTTATAGAATCGCTATGTTCACGTAGAACGCAAACAATCATGAGAACGAGACCAAGCATGCCATGAACATTAAAAAAAGCAGCAGCTATTGAAAATAAATTTGATTAATTACGTTTCCATTTTTTTCAACTGAAATATCATCACAGCGATGTCCATTGCAGTTTTGGTTCTCAATGATGTAAACCATTCGAAAGTGACATTACCGATCACTCAAATGTGGCGTGATGTCGTTTCATGAGCCACTGACCAATCACATTCTAGATTTGCTGATGAGCATGCGTACTCGCGAACGTCTTTATTGCTGTATAGTCTCGTCTGCAAAATTAATGAAGCCATTTTGGAAAGTTTGCTGAAGAAATGAACAATGGAAATAGGTCAGAGGAAGAAGGCGTGTGAAGATTATACAGCGTTCTCGGTAACTGATTATTATTTATCTAATGAAATATGTACTCCACCGACAACTATTTAGTGATTCATCTGTAAAAGTGTTCACACCTCAAACAACAAATCACACCAGTCCCCTACCTTACGAAAGACACTGAAATATTATTGCACAGCATAATACTTCCAAAGTCCGCGACGAAATTCACAGCAGAATCATTAAATAATGCAACATCTTTACAGACGTGCCAGGTAGTACAAGTACTGCCTGCGACAGTAAGTTTACAGACGTGCCAGGTAGTACAAGTACTGCCTGCGACAGTAAGTTTACAGACGTGCCAGGTAGTACAAATACTGCCTGCGACAGTAAGTTTACAGACGTGCCAGTAAGTTTACAGACGTGCCAGGTAGTACAAGTACTGCCTGCGACAGTAAGTTTACAGACGTGCCAGGTAGTACAAATACTGCCTGCGACAGTAAGTTTACAGACGTGCCAGGTAGTACAAATACTGCCTGCGACAGTAAGTTTACAGACGTGCCAGGTAGTACAAATACTGCCTGCGACAGTAAGTTTACAGACGTACCAGGTAGTACAAGTACTGCCTGCGACAGTAAGTTTACAGACGTGCCAGGTAGTACAAGTACTGCCTGCGACAGTAAGTTTACAGACGTACCAGGTAGTACAAATACTGCCTGCGACAGTAAGTTTACAGACGTACCAGGTAGTACAAGTACTGCCTGCGACAGTAAGTTTACGGACGTACCAGGTAGTACAAGTACTGCCTGCGACAGTAAGTTTACAGACGTGCCAGGTAGTACAAGTACTGCCTGCGACAGTAAGTTTACAGACGTGCCAGGTAGTACAAGTACTGCCTGCGACAGTAAGTTTACTGACGTACCAGGTAGTACAAATACTGCCTGCGACAGTAAGTTTACAGACGTACCAGGTAGTACAAATACTGCCTGCGACAGTGAGTTTACAGACGTACCAGGTAGTACAAATACTGCCTGCGACAGTGAGTTTACAGATGTACCAGGTAGTACAAATACTGCCTGCGACAGTAAGTTTACAGATGTACCAGGTAGTACAAGTACTGCCTGCGACAGTAAGTTTACAGATGTACCAGGTAGTACAAATACTGCCTGCGACAGTAGGTTTACAGACGTTCCAGGTAGTACAAGTACTGCCTGCGACAGTGAGTAAGAGCGTTGGTCTACGTAGCCTGAATTGAAGTTCTGATATACCTTGGTTTGACTCTCTCTAACCGTGGCTGTTCGTGCTTTTCGGAAAGCTGAGATACGGTTCAATGAGGTAACCACCAGCTGCAATCAGGAAATTCCGTCTCAAAATGACGCTCGTGGGATGATAGACATAAACAGTTACAACTCTATTTTATAGTGACATCACCTGTTCATTATAGTGACATCACCTGTTCATTATAGTGATATCGCCTATCTATTATAGTAATATCGCCTATTCATTATAGTGATATCACCTGTTCTTTATAGTGACATCACCTGTTCATTATCGTGATATCACCTGTTCTTTATAGTGATATCGCCTGTTTCGCTATGGTGATATCACCTATTCCAACCATAATTCCACCATAATGAGTAGTTCATATTACTAGATTATTAGGTGACAACGCTAATTCATTATGGTCATACCATATATTAAATTGCTTTGCAAATTTTGCACAACGTCTCTTGCGGAATGCACGTATTCACTTTAGGGCGTTATAGAGCCACAACTAAGACTTCTAAGACTTTATTTACGAAAATCAGCGTTCGTGTTTTTCTTTATTGAGTTGTATCAAATACACATTTCTAGGTATTTATATGAATGCAAATAAAGACATTTTCGTATTATTAAAACATGTATAACCAAACTTAGCTTCTCATCTATCCTTGAGGTTTTTAACCCCTCACTAGAATAAGAATTTGTGTCATATTTAAATGTAAACCGCGTTTTCTCTTTATCTAAATTCACTTTAATATATTTCATATGTAGGAACCGTTCTCCAATGATAAGTCATAGAAAATATCTTTTCACGTATGTTAACAATGTAGCTTATTTTGTGGTTTAAAGCCCATATCTGCATGGTTTCGGACATGTAGAGTGTGAATATTCATGAGCGTACCAAGAGCATCAAAAGATATGTACACACATATTTTGTACTGCCTTACACGCGCAATTTGCTGGTTACGACAAGGCATCATTAGAATTTATTGTGACGTCATAGAAGCTTAAACGATTATGACGTCATTACTAGTCTCAATAGATACCGACTGGACCGTCGCGGAAACAAGACTCTGAGAGGTAAGTTGATACAAGTCACTATGCTTTTATTGCCTTGCTACAAAATGTGAAATATCAGTTTTTGAAATTATGAAATAACAGTCATTTTCATCTTAACCAACGTTGTGCTCAACAGAAAGAATTTAACTTTTTTAAGATGCAAGCTAGTTTTGGCGATGCTTTACTTAATTGGGCTCCAAATATCTTAAACAGAATAAAACGAAAAACAAAAGCACAAAAAGCTTCAGCAAAAAACAGAGTACCTCAATTATTGGATTCACGTTCACTGAAGACATTAGTGATGAAGAAAATTCTACGTTGTCCAGCTGCGAAAGGGAAACCGAACTCAAGTCAAGTTAAAGTTAAACGGCTAGTGTTTTGTTCACGGCTTTACAAAATATTTTAAAGTTCCCGTGCATGCTGTCCCAAAATTTCACGACATTTTGAACAATTTCAGATGTTGATATGTCGAGGCATCACCTAGGACAGAAACGGAGCTCCAAACTTCTCCGACAGGCCGTCAGTAAGGAGAGAAGACGTGAGAGTTCACCGGTACGTCTCGTTATCAGTCAGATTTAATTGAGAGTATCTCATTATGTGAATGATATTGGACTATTTTGCAAAAGAAAATCTGTACGGTTTATCTATACCCTCGCGACAAGTGGCCGAGTGTATATAGGAATAACCCCTCCCCTTTACACGTACGCATGTAAGTTCGTGCGTAAAAAATAACCGCTTTACAGGCTGCATCCAATATCATGAAACTCCACACACATGATTACAAACATCAATTATTGTAAGATTTTGACTTCCAACCTTGTATAGTTAAAAACTAGGTCGCTGTTACTATTAATAGAAATCAAAAGAAATTTAAACGCCACCGCTCCACAGGCTGCATTTCTAAAGTGATTAGTACAAAACTCCACACACATGTTCACAAACATCACTCAGTATACTATTTCGATTTCCAACCTTGCGCAGTCAAATGATAGGTCAATGTTTCAATAAATAGAAACTTGCACAATTTTCTCGTCATTGCCCTAAAGGCTCTGCTGCTTCTCCCATTCGTACCCAACTTCACATACGTGTTCACAAAGATCACCTTCATTCGAGTTCAAGTTTTGACTCTCGGTAGTTAAAAAAACTATATGAACTTGTCTATAAAGAAATATTTGACTAAAATTTCGATGTCACCGCTCTACAGACTGCAATTTGACAACCAGGAGATTTCATTTGTGACATCAATAAAACACCAAATGCATTGCAACCCATAAAAAACACTTACCAGCAGCACATCATGTCACCCACGCATCATTCTAGTAATTTTTTAGACCATATCTACACCAGATATGTGATGTTTAAGAACACGTGAAGGTTTCCACTTACTCTTACCATGTCATACAAAATTGAGGCGCGAGGGTATATTTATATCGTACGATGCCTTGTTTCTTAATGGTAATACTACGTTTCATATATTTCCTATACAATTTCAGAACTTCCGACAGGTTTTCCTAGATGTAGATACAGAGCCCGGGTACCCGGGACCAGCGCCTCCCGAGGAAAGAAAGAAAGAATTTTTTGACGTGAAAGATTTCTCTCATGTAGATAATTATGTGCGAAAGGTGGGTATTCATGTTTAGTGATTGCATTATAACATGAGACTCCAGACTGTCACAAAAACGCAATGAAAGGAATGTTCACCGTCATCTTTTATATTGCGTAAACAGAATGTACACATTTCGTGAACTAAAATAGCAATATACGAAGTACGACTTGTAATTTTCAAGACGAATGAAACAGGATCTTAAGAATTTTAAAGTTTGATCTTCAATCTTGATCATAAAAAATTAAGATTACTTGTAGTAATTATACATACCAAATATTATGTTTCAATGCAACATCAAACGTTCTGCCTTATTTACTCATGTAGTCGAGTAAATTTTGTGTTCTGATTAATAGTTCAGTAATAATAAATAACATTTTAATGTAACCCAGGTAAATATTAACAGCGGGTTAAAATCCTGTCGGAACATTTGAATAATGACCTCTGTTACATTAGAAAAGTAGTTTCAATACACAGCTTTGGAGTAGACCTAAACTGATGACAATCCCCCGACTTCAAGACTATTATCGCTAAAGCATTTAAATGCACCTGAAGTCATAAAAGTTTGTTTCTAAGATTAAGGGCAACTTGCATGAGCACAAAACTTTCGTGGATTAAGTATCTAGGCCTAATAGCATAATTAGTAAGTTATATATAAATATGTTTCGTGCTTATCCCAAACTGCATTTTATGCATGTGCAATCGGAGAGAAAATAAAAAGCATGAAAAAATATGAAAACAACGATATCACCTTCCTAAAACAGGTACTGTCCAGGTGGATAATCGAATTTTAATTACCACTCACAGAAGAAATTCTAGTCATCATAGGGTACATTTTGACACATGTAATGTAGCATGGAATTAAATACAACCATCGGACCTCTCTGAAGTCTATTCAAAGAACAGTTTTACCGGTAGAAGCATAACACAACTATTTTATATGCGCGGTCAACGATCATAAAATGATCTTTGATATTTTGAGCTGCAGTATGAGTAATTGCGTGAAAATGACTATTTTAGGCACCACAAGAAACAGGTGAGAGTTATGAAGCTTTGTTGAAGTACTTGATCAATGAATCGGGTTCTGACTTGGAGAGGATCCGCGCTTTATTTTATTGGCTAATCCTACAGAAGGTCCCGATGCTGTTATGTCAGAAGGATATTCCTTCCCCGGATACTCCAGTCGGTTACCTACACCTGGTTCGGGAACGCAAGGGAAGCTATTCCGAAATGTTCACAACTCTTTCCAGGTACGGATAATGTAGATGCTTCAAACAGCACGTGTGACATTGATTTTTTTCAGTCGACTACTCCATGAAGCTTTTCTGCTTGAAAATGATAGCGACAAATGAAGTATGAATATTTTCAGTTCTGTAACAAACGAAATGTAAATGCTTTTGAGCCATTGTTGCGTGTTTTAAATCTTTCCTCCTCATAATGAACACAACAAGTGTCTATTGATCACACATCAGTAGTGGCATCACAAGGCTGAGTTAAAAGTATAGCGTAGAAATTACCATTTCAAAGAGCTCACTTTCGTATATCTCGGCCATTGGGGCAGAACCCAAAGCATTGCTTCCGGAGGATGGGGAGAACTAAATAGTGCCTATGTATAACGTGTGGGCACAACCTGATATGTCATAGTTAAGTTGAAATCCATACATACATATTATTGTGTGCCGTTTCAGAAAAGCTGGTATCCCTTGTGTGACCATACATGGCATAGCAAAAGGTGTGGCTTATGATGTTGGGGAGAAAATCGACCGTATCAGAATGAAGAATTCATGGAATGCTGTTTATTTGGAGGGAGGCTGGCGCTTCGTTCACCCTTACTGGGCCGCTATGTCTGCACAAGGTTACAACACTGGACGCTGGACTGTGGTCGAATGTCCAGAGTTTCACGAGGACTTTTCACCAAAAGGCGGAAGTAAGTCATACATTGTCCATTCTATGGTCAACGAGTTCTTCTTCCTCACGGATCCGGATCAATTCATCACGAAATGTTTTCCGAATGATGAACGCTGGCAATTATTGAGGACGCCATTTACCAAGGAGGCATTTGAAGCCACGCCGTTTTTACAACCATCATTCTACGAACTCGGCCTGAAATTGACCAGTCATAAGAAATGTGTTGTCCAATCACGTTACGGAAAAGTGAAAATCGCGATCGAAATGCCTGAAGATTGCTACGAAAGACTCCAGTTTGCTTACAAATTATATCGTTCACGAGAATGCGAGGATGAAGGCGAGTATGAATATTTCAAACTGGAACGGTTTGTGCTCCAGTACTGTCAGGGCACGACTGCCTTAACAGAGATCCGTTTCCCTCCGGTAGCTACTGGAGCGTATAAACTGGAACTACATTGTAGGGACCCAAAACATCGACTGATCTCGGAGTGGATTTGTGACTTTAAAGTAATCTGCACAAACGGAATGGAGGTTTGCGAGCCTCTTCCAGTTGTACCGTCCATAGGATGGGGTGCAGGGCCGGAACTCGAGCGTCACAACATCGTGGCCCGTACTCACACAGACGGAGTCTATAATGTAGACGAGGATCTAGTCACTGAGGTATGGTTTGAACACGATGATGAAACAGAAATATACACAGAGCTTGTCCATAACTCTTTATCTAAGAGCGAACTTGCCGAATGTCTCTCGCAGACCTTTATAAATGAAGATTCAGAAACTGTTGTCCGCATCAAACCGCCATCAGAAGGAGAATATGCTCTCCAGGTGTTCAGCAAGAAGAAAGATGCTTTAAATCTAGAGAACGTGTACAACGTCCTCCTTCAACGGACTCAAGTCGTGGAGGTAAGTATTTCATTCGGTTCAAATATGTTTGAAAGTTTGGAGATTCGAAAAACACCATCAGCCGAGTGTCTGTTAAACGTGCAATTGGTGGCTAGAACTTTTCATTTATAGTATGTAAGCAATATAACGAGGACAAAATAGTTTCAGAAGAAATGCATAAATTTGTTAATATTACATTGTGCGCAAAATAATAACTTTACATTGAATTGAAAACGTGATGTGCACGTGTGTCAATTGTCTTCCAACGATTCTATAGAGGATCACTACTGCAGACGCGGATAACCTCTTTCGATTGTTATCTGAACAGTCCTCTGGAGTTTTGTTGTTTTTCTGATGTTCACAAAATCTAACATTTCATCGCCTCAAAACTTCTTCAAAATCTGATGCTTCGCAAACACTTGCGTAACGATTAGTTTTCTTTTCTGTTTTATCCTTAGTATAGGTGTTTTAGCTGTTAAAACCTGTGACCGCAATTATCCTTAAAGTGGTTTCGAATAATTTTAATACGTCCGTTCAACAGGACTACTTTATGAAAGTCAAATGATCAGCATCTAACAAATCTTAGGAAATATTCCTTAACGGAAAACAGAGAGAAAGTGAGAATTTTAAATTTTAAATTATTGTCTGACCATAACAGAACGCCAGTATGGCGGAGCTTCGCGAGCAGTTACGAATGGCCACAACAGAAGGCGATACTCGGGGAATGGCTTCACTTTTGGACGAGTGTTCTAAACGAGGTTTGGAGGACAAAGGCGACTTCACGAAGGCTAAGCGAAAATTCCTCCTTAACCGCCTCAATAACGGTAGTTTATTTCATATCAATAATGCAAATTGGATTGAGTTGGAATTTGTCTGAGAGTGCTAAGCATTTGTTTTTGTTCGATATCAACCAACTTTTGGTTATGTAACGCTAGCTGTACATAAAACTTGTCATGCCTGACTTTCCATCACTTTCTTTTGTAAAGTTGGCTGTTTCAACCGTATTCAACTCTTCTAAAATTTGATTGAAAAAAAATACAGAATTTTAATAGAGGATGCACAAAAATGGGAAATGTGATCAAAATGATTTCGATAATGAAACTATATCATGTCAATATTTGCAATATTTGTATTTAAGTGCTTGATAAAGAAAGAATACATCATAATTTTCGCAATACATTAAATCCTCTTTCTCACACACAGAATTAAAGGAGGCCATGGAGTCTAAAGATCTTGAGAAATTAGACACTGCCATGCATAACCTGAGCGAGACGTCCCTCAAGAAAGAACTAGGGTCACTCTTGGAAGACGCCGAGGTTATGCGTATCCGGCTTCGGAAATTGAAAAGATTGCGGAAGGCCGTTTTAGAAATGGACGCCAAGAGCATCTCCGAAATCCGGAGTTATCCGAAACCTCCTGCTGCCGTACACGCGGTGATGGCAGCGACGTTTCTTTTGCTTGGCAGCAAAGAGGCAGATTTACGGGTTAGTTGACAGTAGATATCACGGTTTACATCTTATCAAGTTGTTTCCTGTCGCTTTTGTCGCTTTTTTCTGTGAATTCATTCATATTTTTTGTGCAGAGACATATTTACATATTGTGACCCACCACATCCGATATTTGTGTATATCTGATAAAAGAGATAATGTGGAACTGCATTATGAAACAAACAAGGTAGTCTGACAAACGTCAGTAACAATAACTGTGTACACAAGCATCCAGAGATTTGATATCTTTCTGAACATATGGTATAGTACATAGTGACTATCGACTGCCTTCAAGCCCTGAAGACTTTTTAAAGAAGAATTGTTCATTATTTTCCCTCGCTAAAACCTGGAATTAGACTTATCCGCAAGATCAAAATTGAAGACTCTTTTTCTATTAGAATTTCGAGATTCTAGACAGGGCCAGTAAAATGAATCATGACCTGTTCTGATGTCAAATTTGGATTTTCATGGCTTTAAACATCTCGAAGAATGATTAGTCATTGATGATTATAGTATATATAAAAGTCTTTCTTCCCTCTTGTTTTTTTGTGTATATACACATTCTTACACATGTTATCGTATCGTCTACGTGTCATCTAGAAATGGCCAAAAGTCCAGGGGTTGATTTCCAAGAAAGGAAAAGACGGACTAAAACGCCGAGTGGCGGCGTTTCAAATAAAGAAGCTCCGACCGGCCATTGTGATCCGAGCCAAAGAAATCATCAGCAAGTACGACATGGAGACAGTCCAGATCGCCAGTGCAGGGGCTGCCACTTTCTACCAGTGGGTATGTATCGCTTGCGTTCAAGGAAAATCCAGACTGAATATATATGTAAAATAAATAGTAGTTTCACGATAAGGATTAATAGACACGTCCAGAAGACTTACTCCACTGCTACTGTGAAAACGTACATTTTAGCGGGAGATATATTTTCATATTTTTAGTGAGTACCTTTTATTCACGAATTGATAAGTCCACGAATTATTCTTAAAATTAGTCTTTCTAGATTTCCCGAATTTCTTCTATTCATGCCGATAAAAAGTGCACACAAAATAAGGAGTGCGATGACAGCGTAAATCTAAGTTATATACGGACATTGAATAGGCAGAAACCTTATTGACATTTCCACCAAATTTCCTCTTACATATACTGATGCAAGATTTAAACATCTATTGATACCACATTTTCATAATTTCAGGCCACAACCACCATCCACGACTATGAGACCTGATGGAAAATCCACGGAGAAAATTTCATGGCGAATTATTATTTCTTGTTGAGAAAATGACATTATGGTTAAAATAAAATATTGAGGGATTATTAATTAACAGAGAAACTCATTGTTTTTAGATGTGAATTACAAAATTTTGTATACTTTAATAGTATAATTTTTAGATACATGTAGTGTATTTGCTCGCTGCCATTCCAAATTCCGAGTATAAATAAAGACAGTTACAAAGCCCATTCTTCTCTTGTTGATCGGTTTGTTTCACAGCAACTTGCCAAAAATCAGATGATTTCCTGTGAGCATGGCTATCAGCATATTCAAGTGTTGCTTGTAAAATTGTCACTTAAACCAAGAAATCAAAGTGTGGACACGAAGTAAAAAAATGTCATGTCTGAGTTTTTATATCGGATTATTGCAGTCTTGAGTAAAGTTAAGATTGATGCTTGTGGTTGAAATAGAGAGGTTTCTAGAAGTCCCGTGACCCGAGTCGTGTAAAAGAAATTTTTATTCATAATTATTCTCGGCAGAACGCGTGGGTATTACATATGGGTTCGGTCCGCTCGTATATCCGAGGAGCTTTCAGTGCTACAACATAAAAACTTTTCGGCGAGTCACAACGAAATTTAGTATACATGTCAGGCCCTAGTTGTGCATGTTTCCATCAATGATATTTCATTTTTGAAATATTCTGTTACCACGTAAACAATTTAAGAAATTCAACATTTACTGTTCACAAGATGTTTCAGGCCACAGCTTGACAATCATTTATCAACCATCAATAACAGACTCTGCATCAAAATACTAACTTGCTATAAGGTAGATATACATGTCTGTGTGTATGCTTATACCTACAGCTGGGCGCGGGGGATAATCTCACGCATTGTGGCTCCATATCGAATTATTTATGTCGCTCACGACATTATCCGGACATTATACACCAATGATGTCCACAGTAACGTCCATTTTATATAACTCTTGAGATAGATACATGTGTGTTGAGATCGTGTAACGCACGCCCCTTTTCACCCATCCCCTTGAAATTGAATCTAATCATGAATGACTAAACGCATTTTAACCATTGGAAGCATGGTCATCCTTAGGGGAATGGATAATCATTTCTGGAAATCCTCCTTGGGGGGAATCCAAGAAGGTATAAGGGATTTGATACATTTCTCCCGTAGGAGTAGCAGGACTGTCCAAATTTCGTCAGAAACATCCTTTGATGAAGCGGCTTAATTTGTATGAACGACTGAGGGGTGGGACTCAATAGTGGTCTCGGGACTTACGGGTGGGGCTCAATAGGGACATCGGGACTGACGGGTGGGGCTCAATAGGGACATCGGGACTGACGGGTGGAGTTTAATTATGACCTAGGGACTGATGGATGGGGCTCAATAGGGACATTGGGACTGAGGGGTGGGGCCTCAACAAGAAATCATAAGTAAATCAATATACTGAATAGCGTGCCAGGGGTCGAAATTAACTGTTTTAGGCACTAGCAAACCATTGCTAGTGCCTAAAATTTTCCACAAGCAAAAATGATGAACAAACTAGCAATTTTTTGGTGAATAGGTTTGACTTTTATTTACTGTTATATTGAGTTTTTTCAGGAACTGAGTGATATTGGAAAAGTTATCCAAGGCATTGGATAAGAATGGCTGATTGCTACCTGTATCAACATTTTAAATCTATATAACTTTGAATTTATCAGTTTTCTTTTTTTCATGTATGAGCTACATCTAATCTGACTGTCATATGATCAGATCCATTTATAAATGTAACTGTACCCAAATTTATATTATTTAACAAAATGTTCACATTAACGATCATTTCAATAAATTATTATCAAGACAACTATCTTCCGTGTTCTCGGCAGTCATTGCGCCATACTGTATTAACAACATCGTTACTAGATGATTTGTTGTATCCTAGAATAATATTCAATTCTTTTTCTCGATTTCCGTACCGTTTGTAACGTGGCCGTATATGCACGTTGTTGTGGCGGTGATTTTATATCAGCGGCGTCAGGAGAAACGTTCTCCGATTTCGACGATTTTTTTTTTCAGAAGGGCCAGGCTGTGGCTGTTGACTATTGTCTTGGTCATCGCAAGCACTGTCAGATGCTTTCCTTTTGAAAAAGTTTGTTATCATAGCTGATACGTCGCGTTTCACATGATGAGCAGACAGAAATCGTAGAGTTTTTCCAAGACAACTTTTTATTCGGTTTACACATAACTATCAAGGGAAAAACTGGAGGAATTCCGAATGTATTGATAATCTATGTCACTTTAGTGTTTGTAACCTATTTACTCATTTAAAGGCAGACGGAGAAAGGCATTTTGTGGCAGATGTTTCGTCAAAAATAGTGATTAGGTATAGTTCATTTCCACTAGCAAAATTTTGCTAGTTCATTATTTTCCAGCAAGCAATTACCAGATTTTAGCTGGAATTTTGTTAGTTGTATATAGTTAATTTCGAACCCTGCGTGCTTATTTCTCCATCTGCCTCCATCCCGTGTCAAAACCGGTGTATCAGATATTTGCCATGTAATATTTCCCCATTAAAGAGCAGGAAGAGAAAGTACGATAATGCAACTCTTCCTCATTTAATAATCGTTAGTTCTATATCCATCAGGCATTTTATGACAGAACTTGGAACGTTATATGGTAGGTATTTTGTCTAAATATGGTCCGAGACATCCTACTTGGATATTTGGAACTCAATGGTGTATAAACAGAACCTCTGCGCCCACAGGAGGCAAGGGGACCAAGGATAAAGAATGTTATCTTCAAGGTATCTTTTAAAAAATATTTTTTGTTATTTTTGTCAGAGGATCCTTGATGAAGGAAATTAATTTTTGTAGGAGGGCCACATAACGAAACATTTTTACCTGAAAATCACTTGAAAAACAAGCTGTCCTCCTAAAGCTGGTCTAAAAATGCTGATAGGAGATGTAGAGAAAATATAACAAGTCAACTTGCTTTTTATTTCAAAGTAAATTCTGATGAGACATATTAATTAAGGAATAGCTTTGTACATCCATCTCAAGTTTTCATTTGTAAAGAGATCTCTGTTTTCACCCGATGGTTTGACTTAATCACCGTGACATAAAATTGTGTTTTCATGAACTGCAATTTGATTCGACTGTATTTGGAAGAATTACTGCCCCTTGTTGTTGTCACGTTAAACTTGACCTGTGACCTCCTCTCTCAGTTTTTAACCAATTTCTTTGAAACTTTGTAGGCTTTATAATCAGAACATAAGATTGTGTTTGCTTGAACATCATTTTGATTCAACAGTATTTAAAAAAGTGATTGCCCTTTATTGTTTTTAGCATTTAGATATAATTTCTTCTCTCAGATTTTAATCCTTTCCTTTAACACTTTGTGTACTTTAATTCATCATCTAAAGCACTATTTTTCCTCTCAGCATTTTGATAACATACAATGGATTGCAATTTCTGTTTCTGTATTGATTTTGATACAATAAATCATGAAGAACATAATAATAGATAATTACATGTATATTTCTAGGGCATGAAACAAGTATATATTTTTCTTCTCAATGATTCACTTATTAATTGATGCAAAACTGTCTCAACCACACAGATTGAATCATTCCCACCCATCCCCTAAAAGAAACCCCATTTCTCATGAATTTAGACTACTTTCATTCTTTGTATTTCATTTTCTTTCAAAAAGCGATGAAAAATTGTTGATAAACGTGTTCAATACATCCGTTTTTACTAAGGCTCAATTCCTTTACAGATAATTATGATTTTTACTTTTTTTGGGTGCTGATAAACATGGTATGTACAGGATCAGCAATAACATTTACAGGTAAGGTAAATAATGTCTGGCATAAACATGGTTTTATCAATGAAGAAAGCTCCAGTGTCTGCAGTCAGATTATAAAAGTCAGCTCAACTCTACAGTTATGGCTATAATTTCTTTCTGATGACTAGGTTATGGTTGGAAGTCCTAACTAAAGTAACTAAGTTACCTCCCCTTACAAACCAGAGTGTTCTAGTCACAATATACTTCTGCAAGCTATTAATGAGTTCATGAATATTAGTATCACAGTTGATATCAGCAAGCGATGTCTGGAATTCTCTCCATAACCAAAGGTCTTCCAATATAATTCTCCCCATCCCTCCTCATCACACATCCATCACACTGTTAACATTTACATTTATACATTTGATATGGATTGACTATGCTAAACCAACTACTCTTCATATATAACACAATGTCAACATTGGTTTATTCAATTCATAAATTAATTAAAATTCAGATCAGTCAAGAAGCCCATTTTTCTTAATATGTTAAGAAGACAAAGTCTCATTTTTTACTTAAAAACAAGACAGCAAATTCACACATAATAACAATAAATGTTAGAAGGTGTGGATTCATCATAAAATTTTGGAAATGTTTCTTCAAATCCATGGAAAGACAAGCGTAAAATCTCCCTTAATAATCCCATACATAGAAAATTTATTTTTATGTTTGAAGGTTCTCTTATCTTTGTAACAATAACATCATACAAAGTGAAAGCTATGTTTCTGCTGACAGTCAAATGGATCTTCAATGTATCTATATGAAAAAGAATCCCATCACAATTGCTTGAAATACCATCTACAGTGTAATTACAATTCAGACTTGGGAGTATTAGGTCCCTGAGAGTCCATTTCTGCATCATAAGAGGCTCCTTGGCTGTTTGTATCCTGTGACATCGGTTCTGATTCTGACATCGTCTGACTCAACATTTCCTGTGTGTTACTACTGTCCACATTCACAGTTGTCTCCCCTGACACATCAGGGGGAGAATTACTTTCATCAGATTTTTTCACATTTTGGTTTGCTTTGTCTTTTTCTGCTTTAGGCACAGGATCAACTGAACTGGATTTTGATTTATTTATCTCATTGTCTTTACTGTTCATGGATTCAGCAATCTGTTCCTCTATGAATTTAAATATTGATTTCATACTGCTGAAGCTCGTGTAGTCATGACGGTCAGTTCCTGTATACATAAGAGAATAAAGATATCATATCTGTATTTCTATGGGTATAAATTTTGATAATGGTTTGTCCAAGCCTCTATTGTATTGGTATAATGTGAATCAATATTTGATTGCTTAATCTATGCAAGAGTGGGTTTTTTTTTCAATTATTCCATATTCTTTCAATCATTCTTTAATAAAACAGAATAAATGAACAGGCTTGACATGGAATATAATTTAATCATCTATTAAAAAGAATATATAAAGGTTATTTTGAGGGGTGGGTGGGTGGAGGAGGGGAGGAGAGGACTCCATATCGGATTGAATCACAGAATCATAAATTACACACACTTTTTGCATGTTATGCATAGGAAATTTGAAATCAAAATGAACTAAATCTGTTCAATAATTCATGAAATATATTGTATGCTATGTTTATTCTACAGACCATCATGTGTTGGACAGGCACATGGGTAAATTGTATTACCATTACCCTTCTACTGATGATAGATCGGTACTTGCCTGCTGATACTGTGGGGCAGAAGTCCATTTTGGAATCTAGTGGGGTGTCTAGGGGATCCTGGGGTCCAGCTGATGCCCAATTTCTTCCTCTCTGAAAAACAAATCAACAAAAACGTTTGTGAAAATATTTTCACCAATAAGTACTGCCTCCGGTGTCAGCCTCCATGTACACAGGTGGAGGACATCCACACACAAATAATCACAGTGGAAGCAGGGATCAGTGTTTTGAGACATAAATTATGTGTTTACTCTATATACTAGAATCAACTATTTTCTGTTTTTCCATGAAAAAACATTATGTTGCCATGTGACTGTACAATATAACATTTTTATTCCATGACATGTCAGTAGCAGTGATGTTATAAAGGTGAAAATCCTGGAAAGATGTTGATTTCAAGTGATCAGCTATTGATTCCATCATTTACCTGTTCTCTGGCTGAGAGACAGATCATTTGACATTAGAGATTGAATAAGTCTGAATTACATAACCTGACAGACTGACTGTATTCAGCATAAAGCCCATGTCTGGTAATAAGTCCATCCGTATCTATTACTGCACAGCAGAATGAACGGTAATGTTATTTAATTCTCCAGTAATAAGCCCACCCCCCTGATCTAACACTGAGAGGAAAGGGTGTGTGTGTGTGTGTGTGTGTGTGTGTGTGTGTGTGTGTGTCTTGTGTGTGTGTGTGTCTGTGGTTGTGTGTGTGTGTGTGTGTGTGTGTGTGTGGATGATAGCTCTGTCAGTAGAGTGTTAGCCTCAGTTGACTGAATGTCCAAGGTGAGTGGAGACTGATGAAGACAGTTCACATGTTCCATAAGTCCATTAACAAGTTTTCTTCTTATATAAGAGTCTATATATTACCTGCTGGTAAAACTTGATGACTCGCTCAGAAGATTTTTGGTGAGTAAAGCTATGGACGGAATCAGTTAACGCAACAGCCCTCACCCTCTTTTCAAAGTCCTTAATGTATTTTCTAGCCTGTCATAATCAGAAATAAAAGAGAGACATAAGACAGACAAAATATGTACAGATAAACAGCAATTTACAGATATCATGTCTCTAACAAAATGTGTTGTACTGATGTATTCTTGGGAAATATATAGTAAAGGACTTGTTTGTTTTGGTGGTTCAAATTTTTGTGGTTGTAAGAAAAACTTTAATCCAAAAAGATGTACTTTTCATAGAAGTTATAAATCTGTTAAATGATGATTTTTTTTCCATAAATTCTGGTTATAAGATATCTTTTTTTTTGTGATCTTATTCTATTCTAGAAAATAGCAAATGAAAAAAGAACCCTTAAAAATAAAAATCTGTACAGTATGCCAAACAGTGCTGACAAACTGTCCAACACGTTATTCATATTGTCCAAAAGCAAACTATAAAAGACTTAATACAGTTCAGAGTAAACTTTTACATTTAATTGCCTTCTCCAAATTGATAAATAAATTTGATCGACAAATTTGATATAAAATTAACAAAATTATCACCAAAGTTATTGATAAAACTGCCTGAACTAATGTTAACATACGTTTGATCAAATCTGTTATGGTATGTTTCTGTGAGAAAACCATTAGCTAATCAGGAAATGATATGCTAAATATTGACAATGAAGTAATTGACGTTACCAGTTCTAGTGTACAGACTCCTCCAAAGCTGTGGGCCACAATAACAATGTCTCTAGCCTTGGAGTTGGCCACATAGTCAGACCACAATGTTTCAAGGTGTTCCTCTGGAGAAGAGCTGCCCTAAAACACACAAAAACATTATATCATGAAGTGGCTTAGGATTTCTTAGATTTACTTGGTATGAAATGATTCTTAGAAAAGTTGAGATAAAATGAAAAATGACAAATTTCATAAATCTCATATGAGATCGAAGTTAAATCAAAGCTGTTCTTTGTCATATTAAAAAAATTATGTACTCATATTTATTACACTGATATCAAGGTAGTTATGTGATGGGTGTTATAACAATGATAACAGGGTAACTATGTAATGGGTGTTATAACAATGACAACAGGAAATTATGTAATGGGTGTTATTACACTGATAACAGGGTAACTATGTAATGGGTGTTATAACAATGACAACAGGAAATTATGTAATGGGTGTTATTACACTGATAACAGGGTAACTATGTAATGGGTGTTATAACAATGATAACTGGGTAACTATGTAATGGGTGTTATAACAATGATAACAGGAAATTATGTAATGGGTGTTATTACACTGATAACAGGGTAACTATGTAATGGGTGTTATAACAATGAAAACAGGAAATTTTGTAATGGGTGTTATTACACTGATAACAGGGTAACTATGTAATGGGTGTTATAACACTGATAACAGAAAATTATGTAATGGGTGTTATTACACTGATAACTGGGTAGTTATATAATGGGTGTAACAACATTGATAACATGGTGATTGTGTGATGGGTGTTGTTACACTGATAATATCACTGATAACTGGGTAATTATGTGATTGGTGTTATTACACTGATAACAGGGTAACTATGTAATGGGTGTTATAACAATGAAAACAGGAAATTTTGTAATGGGTGTTATTACACTGATAACAGGGTAACTATGTAATGGGTGTTGTAACACTGATAACAGAAAATTATGTAATGGGTGTTATTACACTGATAACTGGGTAGTTATATAATGGGTGTAACTACATTGATAACATGGTGATTGTGTGATGGGTGTTGTTACACTGATAATATCACTGATAACTGGGTAATTATGTGATGGGTGTTATTACACTGATAACAGGGTAATTATGTGATAGGTGTAATTACACTGATAACAGGGTATTAAGGTGATGAGTGTTATTACACTGATAACTAGTACGCAAACTGTCTTCAGATTTAATATGTAAATGTAACTATAGATTTAACAGAAAAAATTGTTGTTGTATGATTTGTAGAAACCACAAGAAGATCCTCTGTATTAATATTCACTGAAAGGGTTAAAGATAAGGATGAAATTAAGAAGTCTCCTTACACCTCACATAAATTAAGGACGTCATATAGACAAGAATTAAGACAGTTATGGACAAAATATTTTTCAGCCTATCAAATGGAAGGATTTAACCTTGAATGACCTTGCCCTGTCTTCTTACCGTTATACAAATGGCATGAAATTAGGATAGTCACAATTAAGTGATGTTGTGTGATGAAGAAATGATGCATGTTGAATGTGAGAACACCTTTTGAATGTATGAATGAAGTATCTACCCTAATTAAGGTACGTTCCACCTTGGCCCGGTTGAGGTTGGGATTGGCCACTATCACGCCAAATCCATGTTCCTGGGCCCACTTTATAAAGGGAAGCTGTGTGCCACTGTCAAGGCAGTCGTTGATAATCAGTCTGAGGAAACATACAAGGGGAAATAGTTATGTATACATAAGATTGTAAAAAGCACATAAGGTCCTACATTTTACATCAGAATAAGCCTGCTCACATAACCTTGATCCATACTCCACAAGCCATATATGCTATCCTGTGTAATATTTCTGCATAGGTCACTTGTTTGATATACCCTGAGGCATTTTGAATTGACTGCACCAGTCATAAACTGATTGTGACATCACAATATACATAAGATGTAATAAAATTATTGCCTCCCATTGTTTTTGTCCTCCATGTTGGTACTTTAAAACATGTTAAATTATTACTTTTTTGAGTTATGTATTCAAAAGAATATCTGAAATTTGTTTTCATTCCATATCAAATTTTATCAAACTTGTCTGGAAGTTTAAAGTTTTGTTTGCAAAAGCTCGTAGAAACGATAAATTTTCTTTCATAAAATCTTATATGAAATTAAAACTGACTAAAGACTGTGTTTGTATTTGTGAAAGCTAATCTTCTGGCCCACTGCCCAACTCTCACAGCCCCTGACCCCTCAATGCCTGTATCTGACTATAATTACCTACTTTCTGACCCACTGCCCAACTCTCACAGCCCCTGACCCCTCAATGCCTGTATCTGACTATAATTACCTACTTTCTGACCCACTGCCCAACTCTCACAGCCCCTGACCCCTCAATGCCTGTATCTGACTGTAATTACCTACTTTCTGACCCACTCTCACAGTCGCTGACCCCTCAATGCTTGTATATGACTGTAATTACTTACCTTCAGGCCCACTGCCCCACTCTCACTGCCCCTGACTCCACAATGCCTGTATATGACTGTAATTACTTACCTTCTGGCCCACTGCCCCACTCTCACAGTCCCTGACCCCTCAGTGCCTGTATCTGACTATAATTACTTACTTTCTGGTCTGCTGCCCCACTCTCACAGCCCCTGACCCCTCAATGCCTATATATGACTGTAATTACTTACTTTCTGGCCCACTGCCCCACTCTCACAGCCCCTGACCCCTCAATGTCTATATCTAACTATAATTACCTACTTTCTGGTCTACTGCCCCACTCTCACAGCCCCTGACCCTTCAGTGCCTGTATCTTACTATAATTACTTACTTTCTGGTCTACTGCCCCACTCTCACAGCCCCTGACCCCTCAATGCCTGTATCAGACTATAATTACTTACTTTCTGGTCTACTGCCCCACTCTCACAGCCCCTGACCCCTCAGTGCCTGTATCTGACTATAGTTAGTTACTTTCTGGTCTACTGCCCCACTCTCACAGTCCCTGACCCCTCAATGCCTGTATCTGACTGTAATTGCTTACTTTCTAGCCCACTGCCCTGCTCTCACAGCCTCTGACCCCTCAATGCCTGTATCTGACTATAATTACTTACTATCCGGTCTACTGCCCCACTCTCACAGTCCCTGACCCCTCAATGCCTGTATCTGACTGTAATTACTTACTTTCTGGCCCACTGCCCCGCTCTCACAGCCTCTGACCCCTCAATGCCTGTATCTGACTGTAATTACTTACTTTCTGGCTCACTGCCCTGCTCTCACAGCCTCTGACCCCTCAATGCCTGTATCTGACTGTAATTACTTACTTTCTGGCCCACTGCCCTGCTCTCACAGCCTCTGACCCCTCAATGCCTGTATCTGACTGTAATTACTTACTTTCTGGCACACTGCCCTGCTCTCACAGCCTCTGACCCCTCAATGCCTGTATCTGACTGTAATTACTTACTTTCTGGTCTACTGCCCCACTCTCACAGTCCCTGACCCCTCAATGCCTGTATCTGACTGTAATTACTTACTTTCTGGCCCACTGCCCTGCTCTCACAGCCTCTGACCCCTCAATGCCTGTATCTAACTGTAATTACTTACTTTCTGGCCCACTGCCCTGCTCTCACAGCCTCTGACCCCTCAATACCTGTATCTGACTATAATTACTTACTATCTGGTCTACTGCCCCACTCTCACAGTCCCTGACCCCTCAATGCCTGTATCTGACTATAATTACTTACTTTCTGGCCCACTGCCCTGCTCTCACAGCCCCTGACCCCTCAATGCCTGTATCTGACTGTAATTACTTACTTTCTGGTCTACTGCCCCACTCTCACAGCCCCTGACCCCTCAATGCCTGTATCTGACTGTAATTACTTACTTTCTGGCCCACTGCCCTGCTCTCACAGCTCCTGACCCCTCAATGCCTGTATCTGACTGTAATTACTTACTTTCTGGCCCACTGCCCTGCTCTCACAGCCCCTGACCCCTCAATGCCTGTATCTGACTGTAATTACTTACTTTCTGGCCCACTGCCCTGCTCTCACAGCCCCTGACCCCTCAATGCCGGTATCTGACTGTAATTACTTACTTTCTGGCCCACTGCCCCACTCTCACAGCCCCTGACCCCTCAATGCCTGTATCTGACTATAATTACTTACTTTCTGGCCCACTCTCACAGCCTCTGATCCCTCAATGCCTGTATCTGACTGTAATTACTTACTTTCTGGCCCACTGCCCTGCTCTCACAGCCCCTGACCCCTCAATGCCTGTATCTGACTGTAATTACTTACTTTCTGGCACACTGCCCTGCTCTCACAGCCTCTGACCCCTCAATGCCTGTATCTGACTGTAATTACTTACTTTCTGGCCCACTGCCCTGCTCTCACAGCCCCTGACCCCTCAATGCCTGTATCTGACTGTAATTACTTACTTTCTGGCCCACTGCCCTGCTCTCACAGCCCCTGACCCCTCAATGCCTGTATCTGACTGTAATTACTTACTTTCTGGCCCACTGCCCTGCTCTCACAGCCCCTGACCCCTCAATGCCTGTATCTGACTATAATTACTTACTTTCTGGCCCACTGCCCTGCTCTCACAGTCCCTGACCCCTCAATGCCTGTATATGACTGTAATTACTTACTTTCTGGCCCACTGCCCTGCTCTCACAGCCCCTGACCCATGTATGAGTAGCATTAATCTTTTGGCACTCGTTGTATCATTTGACATGAAGAAAAAGGTCTTGGGCTCATCTTCCTCAGCATCTTCCTGAAATAAAATCATATGCCATATCATATGCAGAGGCATCTGGGTAAGGCATTTATCTAAACTACGCATTAAACAGGATATAATTACTGTATCAAGTTGGTATTTCATCAGGCATTTAGCTAAACTACGCATTAAACAGGATATAATTACTGTATCAAGTTGGTATTTCATCAGGCATTTAGCTAAACTACGCATTAAACAGGATATAATTACTGTATCAAGTTGGTATTTCATCAGGCATTTAGCTAAACTACGCATTAAACAGGATATAATTACTGTATCAAGTTGGTATTTCATCAGGCATTTAGCTAAACTACGCATAAAACAGGATATAATTACTGTATCAAGTTGGTATTTCATCAGGCATTTAGCTAAACTACGCATTAAACAGGATATAATTACTGTATCAAGTTGGTATTTCATCAGGCATTTAGCTAAACTACGCATAAAACAGGATATAATTACTGTATCAAGTTGGTATTTCATCAGGCATTTAGCTAAACTACGCATTAAACAGGATATAATTACTGTATCAAGTTGGTATTTCATCACTTCAGCTGAGCAACTTTCTCAAAAAGTCATGATCATTAAGTCACAATAATCTTAAAACATGAACTTTTTTAGAAAGCTTGAGTAAAGTATAGGGTATAGTACTTACAGGGAGTGTAATCCGCCTCAGTGCACAGTCCTTCTCCATCATACTGTAAACCATATCTGTTATGACCTGAAACATGAGATTATGTATATATCATCAATACAAAAGACCCTAACACTTAACAAGAGGCCTAGAAGTCTTAACAGTCACCTGAGTAAACTGGCAAATCAAAAGAATCAGTATAAATGTTAAGTTCAGAGAAGACAAAATGAGAAATGACATTTGTATAGGGACAACAAAGTTTACCTCATGACCCCTTCAGTAAATATGAACCTTTTTGGCTATGCCCATCAGCCCATGGAGGTCAGTCAAGTAAAGCATATTAAGACCGTTCTATGGATGAAGAGTTTTTAATTCTACCATATTTGAGTATTGAAAAATTTTGGAATTTCATTCAATTTGAATCTTTTATGTCATGCCCATCAGACCCTGGGAGTCAGCCAGGGTACAGCACTTTACGACACTTCCATCCATGAAGAGAATTTGATTTTACCACACTGGAGTGTTAAGAAGAAGATTTTTGAAATTTCAGTCACTCTGATCCTGTCTGGCCCCAACCATCAGCCCCTGGATGTCAGTCAGGGTCAATATGTGCATTACATTGAACTGTTATCCTTAAACCATGTTTGATCTATTTCTAATAGAAATTAAACAAATTACACTCAAAAATATAATTTTTCAAAATATTCTAAACTAAAATCTACCTCCTTTCCCGGGGGAAATGTGAGCCCCGTTATCGTAAAATTTGCAGTTTTGATACAGCACCTGAAGACCCTTCCATCCATCAAGAATGATAAGTTTCATTGAAATCAGTCCACGGGTCTTTTGGGAGATGTCAAAAAAGTAAAAAGTTTACAGACAAACGACGGACAGCAGACACTGGACAAAAAGATATTACAATTGTACCCTGGTATTTCCAGTTTATACACCAGACTGTCCTCCAATCCCCTCCTAGTGTTTTAGGTTATATATACGCCAGACTGTCCTCCCTGACCTGTCACACTCAACTCTCCCATCCCCTCCTAGTGTTTTAGGTTATACATACGCCAGACGGTCCTCCCTGACCTGTCACACTCAACTCTCCCATCCCCTCCTAGTGTTTTAGGTTATACATACGCCAGACGATCACACTCCTCCCATGACCTGTCACACTCAACTCTCCCATCCCCTCCTAGTGTTTTAGGTTATACATACGCCAGACGGTCCTCCCTGACCTGTCACACTCAACTCTCCCATCCCCTCCTAGTGTTTTAGGTTATACATACGCCAGACGATCCTCCCTGACCTGTCACATTCAACTCTCCCATCCCCTCCTAGTGTTTTAGGTTATATATATGCCAGACTGTCCTCCCTGACCTGTCACACTCAACTCTCCCATCCCCTCCTAGTGTTTTAGGTTATATATATGCCAGACTGTCCTCCCTGACTTGTCACACTCAACTCTCCCATCCCCTCCTAGTGTTTTAGGTTATATATATGCCAGACTGTCCTCCCTGACCTGTCACACTCAACTCTCCCATCCTCTCCTAGTGTTTTAGGTTATATATACGCCAGACTGTCCTCCCTGACTTGTCACATTCAACTCTCCCATCCCCTCCTAGTGTTTTAGGTTATATATACGCCAGACTGTCCTCCCTGACCTGTCACACTCAACTCTCCCATCCCCTCCTAGTGTTTTAGGTTATATATACGCCAGACTGTCCTCCCTGACCTGTCACACTCAACTCTCTTAACCCTCCTAGTGTTTCTGGTTATATACTCCAGACTGTCCTCCCTGACCTGTCATACTAACCTCACCCGTCCCCTCCTAGTATTTATGATTAAACTCCAGATTGTCCTCCCTGATCTGTTTCACTCACCTCTCCCATCGCTTCATAGTGTTTCTGGTTATAATCCAAATCATCTTCCCTCACCTGGAATTGAAATGCCTCCTTGGTTTCGAGATGACGAAGTTGTCCCTCTGCAGAATATATTTTTAATAGAACCACATAGGAGCATTTGAAAGAAACAACCAAATAGTAATAAGAAATTACCTAAAGGGACTAAATAGTTTAATTTTCATTTCATAACTGATGAAAAGTATTATAAGATTTAAATATCTATTAAAAGTTGTGCACTTTCTTTTAATTATTATATTTAAAAGTTTGTATAACCATTCTATTAAAAAACATAAAAAAATTTAACTAAATAGGAGCTACCCACCACTAATTCATATTCGAGGAGTGCACATGCACAATATGGGAAAATTTAGATATCACAACAAAGTGGAGGGTTATAACGAGGTTCCAAATGGTCAAGTGGTGAAGTTGGTTACCTCCAATTAAAACAGTGAATGGCAGTAGACTCAACAGCAGCAAGTGTTGACTAGTGTTAATTTTGAAGCTAATAATCTTATATAAACTTTTCTTAAAAACTGTTGTAATTTTGTGAATAGTCTAACTTTAAATTTTACGTTTGTCTGAAATCAAACACACAGACAAAAAAATCTAATCATTAGTCCCTTTAGAGAATATTAAGAGAGAATGAACAAATTTTTTTGGTTCAAATTTTTGCAACTTTGGAAAGATACAATCAACAAAAATCAAAATACAATTTTTGTAGAAACATTTACCAACTTAAAAACTAGTGTTTACCTGAGAAATCAATGCCCATGCTCCATGCATATCAAAATAAACACATCATGGTTTGATGAATTTGCAGAAGCTTCCTTATATGACCTTTGACCCTTCATCTTGACTGATGACCAGCTAATATGATTGGATGAGAACTTGATGTTAATACACTAAGGTGTAAATATGAATCAAATCTATTTTGAGAGATTCTTAATATGACATGGTTTTGTTGTTATGATTCTTAAACTATTTCCAACAGAAAATAAATGAATTATGCTAAAAAATGTCCCTTTCCTTTATAAACCAGTGAAATTTACCCCCATCCCAGGGGGAAATGTGAAACCCTGAAGCCATGAAATTCACATAATTTGGTAAAGCATCTGAAAGCCTTTCCATCCATGAAAAGTATTCCATTCTACCATACCCAGGTATTCAGTAGAAGATTTTTGAAGTTTAAATCAATCTGGCCATGCCTCTCAAGCCCTTGGGCATTAGGGACCATATACAATTTCTAAATTTGGCTAGCCTTTAGCCATGGATGGTTTCTGCAAAATTTCATTGAAATTGGTTCAGGAGTTTTCAAGAAGTCAAAAATATTAAGTTTACAATGCCAGACAAGTGGCTATTGAAATAGGTCAGACCTTAATAACAAACTATGAAGCTATAGTCTCCCTTCCCTTTCAGTTTAACGAGAAGAAGACTTATTCTGGATGCCATTTATTCTTTATAATGAAATAGGTGTGATATAAAGTTTCAACAAAATTTTGTCATGAAACTGGGATAATGTAAGATAAAAACTTACTTACCATCGTTGAAACCATACCCAAACCCTTCCAATGTATCAGGGAATTTATATTCTGTGAAAAGAAAAGAAATCATTTTTAAGACAAACTTCATGAGATAGTATCATGAAAATCTAGATTTTGTAGTAAACTGTATTTGAAAAAATCATCAAAATTCACATACTATTATCAAAATTATCCATCTTCTCTTTTTTAATGAAGTGCACATTTTGGCAGTTTGTAGAATGAATTACTCTAAACATTCTATATTCCATACTAAAAATTCTTTAATATGTTAAGTTCTTCAGATATAACTTCTGAATGGCACATGTTCTACATAATAAAATCACAAAACTGAGTTCAAGCTGCAGCTGGTTTTATAATGTAATATCATTTGATGTGATAGCTCTTCATATCCTGACTTTCTATGGGCTTCATAACACATGCTTCATGTTAATGTTTATGTTAATTCCAGTTAATTATGTCACACCAACAAGCTTATAACATCACAACACCAGATAATGATAACATCACAACACCTGATAATGATAACATCACAACACCTGATAATGATAACATCACAACACCAGATAATGATAACATCACCAGATAATGATAACATCACAACACCTGATAATGATAACATCACAACACCTGATAATGATAACATCACAACACCAGATAATGATAACATCACAACACCAGATAATGATAACATCACAACACCAGATAATGATAACATCACAACACCTGATAATGATAACATCACCAGATAATGATAACATCACAACACCTGATAATGATAACATCACAACACCTGATAATGATAACATCACAACACCTGATAATGATAACATCACAACACCAGATAATGATAACATCACCAGATAATGATAACATCACAACACCAGATAATGATAACATCACCAGATAATGATAACATCACAACACCTGATAATGATAACATCACAACACCTGATAATGATAACATCACAACACCTGATAATGATAACTACACCTGATAATGATAACATCACCAGATAATGATAACATCACAACACCAGATAATGATAACATCACCAGATAATGATAACATCACAACACCTGATAATGATAACATCACAACACCTGATAATGATAACATCACAACACCAGATCATGATAACTACACCAGATAATGATAACATCACAACACCTGATAATGATAACATCACCAGATAATGATAACATCACAACACCAGATAATGATAACATCACCAGATAATGATAACATCACAACACCTGATAATGATAACATCACAACACCTGATAATGATAACATCACAACACCTGATAATGATAACATCACAACACCTGATAATGATAACATCACAACACCTGATAATGATAACATCACAACACCTGATAATGATAACATCACAACACCTGATAATGATAACATCACAACACCAGATAATGATAACATCACAACACCTGATAATGATAACATCACAACACCTGATGATGATAACATCACAACACCTGATAATGATAACATCACAACACCAGATAATGATAACATCACAACACCTGATAATGATAACATCACAACACCTGATAATGATAACATCACAACACCTGATAATGATAACTACACCTGATGATGATAACATCACAACACCAGATAATGATAACATCACAACACCTGATAATGATAACATCACAACACCTGATAATGATAACATCACAACACCAGATAATGATAACATCACAACACCAGATAATGATAACATCACAACACCTGATAATGATAACATCACAACACCAGATAATGATAACATCACAACACCAGATAATGATAACATCACAACACCTGATAATGATAACATCACAACACCTGATAATGATAACATCACAACACCTGATAATGATAATGATATACATCACAACACCTGATGATGATAACATCACAACACCAGATAATGATAACTACACCAGATAATGATAACATCACAACATCTGATGATGATAACATCACCAGATAATGATAACATCACCAGATAATGATAACATCACAACACCTGATAATGATAACATCACAACACCTGATAATGATAACATCACAACACCTGATAATGATAACATCACCAGATAATGATAACATCACAACACCTGATAATGATAACATCACAACACCTGATAACATCACAACACCAGATAATGATAACATCACAACACCAGATAATGATAACAGATAATGATAACATCACAACACCTGATAATGATAACATCACAACACCTAATGATAATGATAACATCACAACACCTGATAATGATAACATCACCACCTGATAATGATAACATCACAACACCTCATAACACAACACCTGATAATGATAACATCACAACAATAATGATAACATCACAACACCAGATAATGATAACATCACAATAATGATAACATCACAACAGATAATGATAACATCACAACACCTGAGATAATGATAACATCACAACACCTGATAATGATAACATCACAACACCTGATAATGATAACATCACAACACCTGATAATGATAACACAACCCTCACACAACACACACAACACCTGATAACATGATAATGATAACATCACAACACCTGATGATAACATGATAACATCACAACACCTGATAATGATAACATCACAACACCTGATAATGATAACATCACCAGATAATGAGAACATCACCACCTGATAATGATAACATCACAACACCTGATAATGATAATGATAACATCACAATAATGATAACATCACAATAATGATAACATCACAGATAATGATAACATCACAACACCTGATAATGATAACATCACAACACCTGATGATGATAACATCACAACACCAGATAATGATAACATCACAACACCAGATAATGATAACATAACAACACCAGATAATGATAACATAACAACACCAGATAATGATAACATCACAACACCTGATAATGATAACATCACAACACCTGATAACGATGACATCACATCACCAGATAATGATAAAATCACCAGATAATGATAACATCACAACACCTGATAATGATAACATCACAACACCAGATAATGATAACATCACAACACCAGATAATGATAACTACACCAGATAATGATAACATCACAACACCAGATAACGATGACATCACATCACCAGATAATGATAACATCACAACACCTGATGATGATAACATCACAACACCAGATAATGGTAACATCACAACACCTGATAATGATAACATCACAACACCTGATAACGATGACATCACATCACCAGATAATGATAACAACACCAGATAATGATAACTACACCAGATGATGATAACATCACAACACCTGATGATGATAACATCACAACACCAGATAATGATAACATCACAACACCTGATGATGATAACATCACAACACCAGATAATGATAACATCACAACACCTGATGATGATAACATCACAACACCAGATAATGGTAACATCACAACACCTAATAATGATAACATCACAACACCTGATAACGATGACATCACATCACCAGATAATGATAACATCACAACACCTGATGATGGTAACATCACAACACCTGATAATGATAACATCACAACACCTGATAACGATGACATCACATCACCAGATAATGATAACAACACCAGATAATGATAACATCACAACACCAGATAATGATAACATCACAACACCTGATGATGATAACATCACAACACCTAATAATGATAACATCACAACACCTGATAATGATAACATCACAACACCTGATGATGATAACATCACAACACCTGATAATGATAACATCACAACACCTGATAATGATAACATCACAACACCAGATAATGATAACATCTAAAATATTCATACCTTTACTTTTCTTATCTGACATGTTCTGAAAAATAAAAAGAAAAGAAAATTTATTAGTTGTTGTCATTCATGATTCGTTGATCTTTATACTAACTTCTTTTCTATACATAATGATGAAGCTAAACTCTTTCATGCATGAAGTTTAACTCTTTTATACATAAAGTGTAATTTTTTATACAAAAAAAACTAACACTTAAATACCTGATATATAAAAAGCTTTTATATACATGGAGCTTAACTCCAGACCTGTAACAGCATGCAGATTGCTGATATTGAAAAAATGGCAACTGAATGCCTTCTCAATGAGTCCTAATAAACCAAATTATATGATTAGAAAACAACCATCTGACATAAAACTTTTCATTTTTGCCCCTGACTTTTCACGCTAACTTTTAAAACGATCTTATTGTTTCCCTACTAACAAAAGGACAGAATAGGTGAAGTTTCCCAACTTACAGAATCATGAAATCACTGTTATAAGAACGAAGTCATGGTGACATTTAACCTTTCACTGTAAACTGTTATACAGTCAATAATTAATTACCAACAAGCCTGAATGTTGTTAATGTATTTTGACCAACAACATTTAAATAGCTTTACATAGCTCATTGACAATCCATAGCAAAAAGTAACAAAATCATAGAGTTAAGGGGTGCAATTAATTGTATAACTTAAGCATTGAAAGCATGATAACTTTTTAAGCAACTATGAAAGAAAAACGAATTGCAAACTTGGGTGCATTTGTTCAGTTGGCAATTCGTTTTTTTCTTTCATAGTTGCATAAAAAAAAACTGTCAAGCTTTCAATACTTATAATTTATTTTATTTTGATAATACACAACTTCAGGTATAATTTTTTTCAACATTTGATCATGTAATTATTTTTTCACAAGTTCTCCTGCGACCATAATGTGGCAAACAAATTGTGAACCAAAATGGCTGAATATTTACAAGAATTATCAAGTTTACTTTCCAAAGGAAAACGTACAGGTCTGGAAGAATTAATGTGATAATAACCAAGCGAAGAGAATGTTCTGACTGTGGGATGTCATGTAATGTGGATCTACATTTCCTTGGCTCTGTACGGGTGCACCAAGTGCAAAGTTCGCAGGAGTGGAAATCGTAAAAAAAAATGCAATGACACAGGTTTTCATATGCAATTCATGTAAAAAGAAGAAGTAATTCTGTCAGGTCACATGCGTTTATTTGAAGAACCAATCAGAATCATTTATCTTCTTTTTTTTTTACACTTCTATTAAAAAAAATTTCACTCGACATTGAATTCTATGGAGTATTTACCGTACAAACAACTAAAGAAAAAAGATGATGGTCACAGTAATGACACAGTTCCTCTTTTGTATAGCAGTAATCTGAATGTATTTCAGCAGTAATAAATGCTGAAAGCCATGCACTTAAATATGGTTGTACTAATAGCAGTTATCATATATTGTTCATATACAAGTAGCAATAATTATGGACGAGCCAATTCACCATTGTGATAATTTGCTAGAAAGTGATAATGTGAAAGAATTTATACCAAAAGAAGTACCTTTATAATATGTCAGCAATGATAATAAAGGATTTCAGATTATGATAACATAATGCAACAACGCCTATATTTCCCTTACATTCCTGTCGTATTTAACTGGTGTACAGGTAAGCAGGGTCATATGGATATACCCACCAACCCATCCCACCACCCTTGTATCAGGAGGTAAGTGCTTGTTCTTGTTACTATTTGTTATTACTCTATTTATTTAACGGGTTTTATGTTCACTATTACGGCCTTTCGACATTTCAGCAGATGAGAAAAGATAGGAAAATGGGTATAATGGAAAAATAAGAAGTGATGGGAGAGAGTGGGATACATATATAGGTAGAGAAGGGCCATCTATGCTGCCTGAAATGTTCTTAAACTGTCAGTTATAAGACTCCAATAACCGTTAAGAAGCCGGTATACAAATTTAGACAGCAGCATTTGGATGTGCATGCAAAAACTATTGTACATGTATGTATGACTTGCAAAGCGGAAACATGCAAAACATTAATCATCTAAGAGACATGCATTGAGTGTCCATTCCCCTGTTATACACAATACATTGCTGATTACCTGCAAGTTACCCATTACCTGCATAAGTACAGAGTGTAAATTGCATAACTTGAATCAAAATCAAATAGAAAGAACTGTCAAGAGAAAATAGTTCTTATTTTCTTATGTGTGATTCACTTAAAACAGATGACAATTTCTTAATTATGATTGAGGTGATGAGCGTGTTTTTATTAAGACATCCACGATTTGTGTGATTGCGTCTGTTATGACATCATGATATTCATACATTTGTTGACACTGTCATGAAGGAATGAAAATATTTAAAAATTTTAAAACTTACATAAACAAAACAATTGGTGTAAACAAGTATTTAAGGTCATTCTGTAGTGTTGTGCCTATGAAAAAAGCTTATGCTTCCCTATGGTTTAAGAGTATACTTCCGATATCCGTATGAATGTTGATTTCTGTTTAAGGACAACACAATTATTCTGGGAACACATATGGGAAGGGAGGCAATTTCTTTTTAACAGAGGGCATGTCTCAGCTTTAAAAAAAGCTCAGCTTGGACACATGTGGTATCCAAGAGCTATACTCTCATTTAGTGACAAAATCTAAACAAGAACCTTCCTTTATACATATACAGATAATGAATGACAAAATTATTCATTACACTGATTTTACAAATAAGATAGATTAATATATGTGTATTAAAAGCAATTTGAGGAGAATACATAAACAAGAGGCCCAGAGGGCCTGTATTGCTCACCTGGATCTTTTTGACCAACAGTACTATATCTGTGCATATGTTCCACAGTAGATGCTTAAAGCAATATGATAAATTACTGCATATGGGTTCTGTCCCTTAGTAGTCAGACCCCTCATCTGTGCAATGTTGAATTTAGACTTTCTTATGATGTTTCCAGCTAAATATAATTGATAGCTTTCTTTTAAATCAAGGAAAGAAGATGGTCAAATAATATAGCAGTAAAAATCTTAGCTATAGCTGGACAGATGACCCAGGACAGCAGAAGCTTCCTTGCCCTTTAGATCATTGTTTACAAACACAGTTACAACATATCTGAGACTTGCACAAGTTAACAATATATAGCAACAATTAAATATAAAGACAGCAAAAATTAAGGTACATGTAATTATAAACCATAATCCTGACTCAAAACCAATAATAAAACATTTCATGCATATGTGATATCACCATGGTCAGTTAAGCCCCGGTTACTGGAGATATACTGATAACAGTTTACTGTAGGCCTATAAACACTGCTTAGCAAATGGGATCAACTTAGAATTTCTTATTTATTTATGCTATAATTATGAAGAATCTTAAATCAAAATGAAGCTCTTGCAATTCTCTTTCCTATCATATTTTCTGTATTTTAATGTTGTGAACAGAACATAAGTAATTGGCTAACATGTAGTTTTTCACATTACTTAGCTCAAGCCTCTCAGACCTCCAGGGGGCTTGGCCTAATCTATTTTTTGGAACAGTGTGACATCACTGTGAAAGGTCTTTATAATTTATTCCATATTATGCCAAGAAAATATCCAGCCAAATATATTCTTTAATAAGCCATTGGAAGGTTCTACATATTTGTATGTAAGCCTCTGTGAAACTTTTACTGGCCAAATATATGGTATAGGTTTTTTTATTTTATAGTTTATATTTGGTTAGTCAGAAAAGTTGCTAAAAGGCTTTAACACATTTGACCTCTGTGACCTTGAATATGGGTCAAGGTCATTTCTTTTTACAAACTTTGTTTGGCTTCATCAAAGGAACCTTCAAGCCATACATAATGATTCTAGGCCTTCCAGTATTTTGGAAGAAGATCGTTTAAAAGTTTTAACACATTTGACCCCTGTGACCTTGAATATGGGTCAAGGTCATTTCTTTTTACAAACTGTGTTGGGCTTCATCAAAGGAACTTTCAAGCCAAATATGATTACGCCTTTCGGTATTTCAGAAGAAGTTGTTTAAAGAGCCAGACCCACTTCTTGATCGATATTATCTTATATTGAAAAAAATTCTTGATTTTCTATTTTTTTTTCGGATAGCAAAAGTTCTGACTAACCCTGTAATACCACAATTTGAAAGTAAAACGCTACCAATCTAACGTAATAAACGTTTGACGCATGCGCAAAGTACTATAAATAAATCTTCCAATATGGCAGAAAGTGTCCGAGGGAAACAAGGAAGAAAATGTGTTTTGATGGACTCTGAGGCGAAAAGGTAGATGGCTGGTTCATACTCTGTATCACTCTCTGTTTGGCTTTTTCGTGTAGTATCACTCTAAAATCATATTCATAAATACTCTTATCATCAAATATTCGCTTTAGATAGATCCATTTCGCAATATTCTATATCTTCGAGTGGGTCTGGCTCTTTAAATGAAAAGTTGACAGGCGCAGGATGGACAAATGCAGGACGGAGGGATGCCGGACAACAGACGGCTTGACAGACGACGGACACCGCACTATGGCATAAGCTCACTTGGCCCTTTGGAAATGACAACTTGTAAAGCAGCAGATCAAAACAAAAAACTTGAGCTGCATAGTATAAATTAATTTATCATGTGAAAAATTGAATGGTGATGAAAAAAAGAAAAGAAAAAATCTCAAAATACTTCATGAAAAAGTCTTTCCCCACTAATGGACATTAACATTGTTGACATTGTTATGGGAAATGTTTGACATTAATATAGGAGATGTTTGACATCATTACAGGTGTTGTTTGACATCATTACAGGTGTTGTTTGACATTGTTATGGGAGTTGTATGACATTGTTATGGGTGTTGGCGTTGTTATTTAAGTTGTTTGAAACATTTATAGGATTTTTCTGACATTGTTATATGTGTTGTTTGATAGAAATATGGAGTTGTTTGACATTAACAAGGGAGTTGTTTAACATTAATATGGGAGTTGTTTGAAACAATTATGATATTTTTTTTTGACATCATTACAGGTGTTGTTTAACATTGTTATGGAAGTTGTTTGTCATTGTTATTGGAGTTGTTTGACATTGTTATTGGAGTTGTTTGACATTGTTATGGAAGTTGTTTGACATTGTTATGGAAGTTGTTTGTCATTGTTATTGGAGTTGTTTGACATTGTTATGGAAGTTGTTTGACATTGTTATTGGAGTTGTTTGACATTAATATAGGAGTTGTTTAACATTAATATGGGAGATGTTTAACATAAATTACATGAACACAGTACACACCTTTCACCCTGAGTAGTTACAAAATTGAAAACAAGCATGGATTATTACAAAACAAGTGCAACTCTACCTTTAGAAAGTTACCCATGGGTACACGCCTCTAATAAAATGGAGGAAGCCTTCACTGAAATGATTTTAGCTCTATAAAACATCAAGCAGTCAGAGTTAAGAAATCCAGAACTTAAAAATGATATCAACAAAATCATAAAATCAGCATGTTTAAAGCGTAAAACAATAAATATCCACATTCACTTGTAATTTTCATGTTTTAAGCGTTAAACTTGCAATGTCTTAGTTATTTACATGGAAATTAATTTTTGTTTCCCAGTCTTTTCATAATTCTAGTATATCTTAATTAAATCAGTAAAGGAATTTCATTGTTAAATGTTTGGTGGTCTTCCATGGGCAACATACCTCACAGGATGATGAAGTAGTCATTTATAGAATAATTGACCAGTATCAATCATTCTCCAAATAACATGTACTTTTAATATATCTGGTTTAACTGCCTAAGATTTGTTTGTCAATTAATTATCAAAGCTTGGGTAGTGTAACTGTATTTATCGTGCAATAAGTCCAAATTTGGTAATATCTTTATTTTAACCCCAACCATATATGTTCCTACCAATGACTCAGAGTCAGAGGCTACAGGTTTGTGCTAGCCTATAGGCTTATTGTAAATATATACATATATACAACAGTTTTCTGTCTGTTCTAAATCTGCTTCCTTATTCAGCATCAGGGCCACAGAGTTGAACAGTGACATGTGGAAATTTCAGAAGTCGATTCACAAATCTGATGAGTCAAAAAAAAATCACTTTTAACCGAACAAACATAGTACATTTTTGGAGCTAAAACCATACTCTCAAGAACCTATTGAATGGTGCGAACCTTAAACTGTTTCATGATACTACAGTTTTATAGCTTTGACTTCTGACAGACCCTATAGACTATCTTTTGGAGACTATCTCGATTCAGGCTTGAGCTTGATATTAGAACAACTTAAAAGAAAAAAAACAAACAAAACAAAATGGCTGCTGCCTTATAATTACAGATTACTGGTGTAATCAGCTGGATTTGAGCAAGCATAGAAATAAAATTGTACTTATGGTTTATAATCCCTACTTAGTCATAATTTACTTTCTGAAAGATGGTATATACACAATGACAATATTATTGGCATTAACATATTCCTAATTATTCTGACATTCTATCCACTTTTACATATCGCGTGGCTTGGAGTCATTGAATGACAAAAGACTCCACACTGATATATGAAAGTCGATTGATTGTCAATATAATTCAGACTAACATCAAAAATAACAATATGATCAACTAACTTTACAGTACACTAATACCGGGAGTTGCTTCAGGATTGTTATATTAAGTTAAATACATGTACAATTCACTAAATCCAGAGATGATTATAAGAAATGTACGTCTCTTCTGACTTAAACACAAGCTGACTAAAATAATATTGGAAACATATATACATGAAGCCAAATAAAATTTTATGACAACGGACTGACAATGTTTTTTTGGTGCATCACACATAAAATTTCGTGTATTTCATTTTGTCTTAAATAAATTCAGATGGACTGGCTATGGTACAGCCAGTGATATTTGAGTCCTAGAGGCTAGAAACATCCTTTTCCTGTAGGACACGCTCAAATTTTGGGAACCTACTATGCCTCTTTGTAATTGGATTCGTCAATTTTTGGATATGATGCCCGGGCATACCCGAAAACCTCCACAAAAATTGCTGTACAGCAGGTAGTGAAGAGAGGGGAAGGGTGCTAAGAAAAGTAAAACGACATTCCAAAACAAGCTAGGCGAAGGTTATCACCACAATTATATCACCGAAAGTTACCAAACATGAATGGACGTCTGACAGTTTAGACAACAATCAGACAAACAAATAGAATAATGCTTACCCTACTTTGAGCTTTGCCAATTCTTAAACAAATCGTTAAAACAGCAACGAACACGAAAAAATATATTCAGTGTGAAACATGGAATTTCCACCATCTATTTCCAGTGTGCCTCGTTCTGGAAAATGGGGACTCCCCTTTTCCGGTGAGCGCCAATTTCTCGCCAAGTAAATAGATCCGTGGTATGCACATAAAAGGGAGAGGAGAAAGGAGTGGTGGTGATATGTTGTTTTAGACCCATCTCCCTTCAGTTAGCGATTGAGATGTGCATAGTCACATAGATATATTGCATACATATGCTAAAAGTATCAGTAACATAAAAATAGCATTACAAATTATTAAACACATAACACTTAAACGGGTAACATTTATTTAATTATATTTCTCTTATAGTATGTGTATTATTTCACACAACGTGAAACTTCTACCTTTTAACCTTCCGTATTTCTAAGTCACAAACGAGAATGCCCGGCTGACGTGACGCCATCTACGAGTTGCGACGCAAAAATGACGGCGATCTGGGGATATCGGTTTCAGTCGCTTGCGTATTTCAATTTTTTTTCGGAGAAAGATAAATCCATTTCTTCATTTACGTCATTTCTCACATCAGAGTCATTCCGTCATAATTCAATGAATAGTAACCATGTGACAATGACATAATGTCATCCTACAGCCATTTCACGAGTCATGTATGATGTCATAATGTACATTTGTATAAGTGTTCACTACAACAATTTCAAAGGCATCGACAGTATGTAAGAGAAATAGAATCAATGACCTCTGTGTGTTATGGACAGTTATCTCAGCTCTGCAGTACATGTGGGCATCATGTTTTTAAAGTGGAACAAGAGGCAACTTTGGTCCATGGGTTGACACATCTCTGTTCATATCATATAGATTTTTTAATCGACACTGCTAACGTCATGTAGACACAGCAAAATAGCTGGTGCTATAATTCAGGCCAGCCTAAAATGGGATTCCCATATCAACAGCATTACCAACAAAGCAAGCTCTACTCTTGGCTTCCTCCGTCGTAATCTAAAAATAAGTTCAACATCAGTTAGGGCACAGGCATTTAAATCTTTAGTTCGTCCATTCCTATAGTATGCATGTCCTGTTTGGGACCCATACACCCAACATATCTCACCATATATCATCTCCTCCGGTCTTACCATTGAATCCTTCAAAACTGATCTCCGCTCACTGTACCCTTAAAATGAAATATTTATATACATATATTCTTTCTTTTTCATTAAGGTAAATCTCCTTTTCTGTCATGACATTATCTTCAACATGTTGAAGTTGGTCATTATCATTTAGAAGTAGAAGTCACGTCGGCAATGTTACTACGGCGGTTACGTACGCCAACAATGAGTACATTGGAAAACAAGGCCAGCAGGGTAAGCTAGAGAAAATGAAATCTTACATACATGATTGCTACTGGCTTGGCTGTATTATACTCTTGCTAGCCATTTCATGTCCTGAGAGTTTTTAATAGGCATTTTCTCTCACTATTACCAGAAATATTATTATGTAATGTATAATAAATGAAATATTTACTAAATGTAATTATAGTCGATATAATTGCCAGATGCCATTAAGGTAAATCTTCCATTAATTACCTGGCGAGTTTCATGGGATTTGTCAGCACGTAAGTTACAATGGGGTGTTCCCGGAACCATCCATGTCCATGACAATAGGTAGAAACATCAAAGGGAGGGTAATTATAATCTGTTTCATATAGATGCTGTATTTACCTGAGATATTTTACCTGTGGATCTACCTGTAATTTTTACAGATATTACAGATGTATCATTATAAATCAACAATTAATTATTGATATTTTGTCTCTTAATACTTCAGTATTGCAGACAGAAAGTACATGTGTACATGCACATGTCCTTCTAAAAAATTGAATCATCTTCTTACTATGTCAAATTGATAAATAATAAATCTACGCATAATCATTTACATAATCATGTAAAGGTCCGCATGATTACCTTTTGGTCTAAATGGTTACAGGCACATGATAGCAAGTACTCTTATATTTTATACACTGTTTTATATAAAAGTAACATTTAAAATGGTATAACTAGTCCGTGGCTGTTATATATCAGAAAAATCTTGAATGAATGTGGTTTAAGCTATATATGGGATATGCAAAGAACAACTAATCATAAGTTTATAATTGGAACGGGTAGATGGAATGGTATTGCGCGGGAAGAAAGATTCTGTACGTATTGTAATGATTATAAAATTGGAGATGAATTTCATTATTTATTAGAATATTCTAGATTTCTGAGTAAAAGGAAGTATTACTTAGGTGAATATTATTGTAAAAGAGTAAATATAATTAAATTCCAATCATTAATGAATACAAATAATATTAATTACTAAAACAAATGTGTAAATTCATCAGATTTATATTTTCAATTGTTTGTCCTCCATGACATCAGTTATATATATTATTAATGTTTCAGCCTCTGTGAACCTTTAATTGTTGTATATGTGTTTTGTATGACATTCTCTATGTACATTTGTAAAAAGAGAAATAAATTGAATTAACTTTGAATCATGTTTTAAAAGACTGAACTAAGATAAGTGAACAGTTTTCATATTAAAACATTTCACTGGAAAAATGTCATCTGAACCCAAAAATATTATAATCAAAAATTATATATTGGAAATGATATCACAATAGTTTACATTATTTTGGAATATACAACAAAAATAATATAACATCATTAAAAATTGCATAATAATTACATGTACATTATGTCACCATATATTTTTTTATCATATAACGTCTTTAATTATTTTATTTTATTTCCTTTTTTGGCTGAGTTTTTTTTATACATGTACAGGTGAGAACCACAGGTAAAAACACAGATAAACCGAACTAACATTAATGATATAGACTATAATCACTGTAAAAACAAAGTTCCAGGTACATGTTTATGATATGTATGCGTTCCGGGATACAGCCGTTACAATTACATCGACTATGTGTCACACTAAGAGAAATCTATTGCTTGGACGACTCCGATGAATGCGACCAGATTACTGATTTGAGAGGTCATGATGCAAATATTTAAACAACGTGATTTCTGATGTAATTGTAGTCGATAACAGGAAATAGACACACTGCTGAAGTGCAAGCGCAATATGAGGTGTAAATTCACCTAGCTACTCGAGTCAAAAACCATTTTGAATTTTTATACATTTTACTCAAACTAGTGAGAGCCATTGACAGCGGTTGAATGTAAGACGGTGCTCACATGGGTAAGCAATGATAGTTCTTTATATTGACTGGTTGCCTGCCACAGAACACAGTTTCTCAGTTCCGTCTTACTGTATGATTAAAAAAAATATTACTATTTCGTAGTGGAGTGTTTTATTATGCCCCGCGCTGTAAACCGGAAATGAAATATTTAGGGAATGATTGGCTAACATCTTTCACAAACAAGATTTTGACATTACGGATTTCAAATCTTTAGTGTCTATGTTTGTTAATTCTGTTTAAATCATTTGAATTTTCGTATACCTTATTTCAACATCAATTCGTGAAGGAATATTTGATAGATTAGGATACTATTCACTCTCCGTTCTGCAGAAACTTCCAATGAGATAGTTGTTTAAAGTTTTCTTGAATCTAACACTTTGAATGAAATCGTAGTCATATTTACTTTCCTTACATCGACGAGGGTCATATGTGTAGTGTACATACAGGGTCGCGACCACTCAGAGAGTTCTCGTCCGAATTTTTCATCGTGTTTCGTATCTTTTTAAAGTATGGGCAAACTGATAAAGTAAAAAATCGACAAGAACAGTGCTTAGAGAGCGTCTCTTTCATGCACGCGTCTTTAAATTTTTCCTGTTTTGATTAATTCAACTTTCTGACGGGCTTATTACGGAGCAAAGACATTCGTCGAAATTTCTACTAAATGATGTAGAGGTAATCAAAAGGTTTCATTCAATCAATCTATTTGTTATTGCCATCAAAAAGCAAATAGATTGGGTAAAATTTTCAATTAACAACTGGAGATTTTCTTTTCAAAACAAAACGTATAACTTTAAATGTACTTTACTTTATCTAAAAGACAGGATCAGGATCTCTCTCTCTCTGATGAACCATGCCCTCTCTCTCTCTCTCTCTTTCTCTCTCTCTCTCTCTCTCTAAATAAATAAATAATAACAACATATCCGACGTACATTTATATAACAATTTTTAATCTTCTGTCTCGCCATTGAGAAATATTTTGTTCCTTTGTGCGGTATGAAGCGGGACGTGTCTGCTTGTTAGTTCCGTTGTTATATACCTTGTTCTCATTGGATTGGCCAAGGTTAATTTTTTTATACTTTTTCATGACTCTCCATGTAAATCATTCTTTTGTCAAAATTTAGCCCTGCTTTTTTTATAATTTGATTTAGGATTATGATTATGTTGACATGTATATGTATTTTCATGTTCATGGCCCATCTCTTTTCTAATATTTTTTCTACGGTTTTTTTTTTGGTTGATATTGCATGTATAGTTTTTAAGATGAATATCACAAATACATTTATCTGATATCAGTTTTTATCTACTAAACGATAATGCCCATCCTTTTTCGAGCATTTAAAGGTCACCGGCAATGAAAATAAAAAGTTTTTCGAGTGAAATTGGTATATAAAATCCTTATAAAGAATTATGTATCACGGTTTTAATATGTGAATACAAAAGGAAAGCACAATATTTTGAGTTATCTCCCTTCTATTGATTACAATAGATATTCGTGTATTTTGATGATTTAGGTGTATTTGCCAAAAACGGTTTCGACAGGATAGTGAACAAGTTAGTGAAAGAGAAAATTAAAATGTGAAAAGTCTAAAAAAAAAACTAAATTAATTAGTAAAACATTGCGAAAACAACAAAGGAAAAAAATATGGACATGCCACCAGTCATTAAATTAAGATTATTTTACAGAGCGTTTATCGATTGTTAGTTAAATGTGTTAAAGGTTGTTGAATTATTCCTGAAAACTCTTCGGAATATATAGTAGTCCAGTCTAATTAAGCTCGTATATCAATAATCCACTACTTACACTCACT